GGAAAAGTACGAGTTGAAGATACATTACCGTATTTCCTGTATTCATGACGTATTTCCTGTATTCATGACGTATTTCCTGTATTCATGACTTAGTTCCTGTATTCATGACGTATTTCCTGTATTCATGACTTAGTTCCTGTATTCATGACTTAGTTCCTGTATTCATGACGTATTTCCTGTATTAATGACGTATTTCCTGTATTCATGGCGTATTTCCTGTATTAATGACGTATTTTCTATATTCATGACTCACTTTGTCTTCACTAATATAGACTGCTAAAGGGAGAGACAAAATGACAGAGAGAAAGAGAGAGAGAGAGAGAGAGAGAGAGAGTTCCGCAACAACACTTCACTTCACTTGCTCGAGACTGGATGGTAGCATGTAGTTCCTCTCTCCTATACCACACCATCCCCACCACTAGTCCTCCTCACCTCAGTTCTCCCTCATACTCCTCTCTCCACCACACCTTTCTTCCTTCTGTTTCTTCTGCTTCTCCTCCCTCTTCCACCACCCTCATCTGCCTCCTCCTCCTCCTCTCTCCTGCATTCCTCTTTTATACCCCTCTCCCACATTCTGCTTCCTTCTTCTCTCCTCTCACCTTTCTTTTCCTCCTCTCCTCACATTCTTCTTCCCGTATTCCTCTTCTTCTCATTTCCCCATATTCCTCTTCCTCCTCCCGTCATATTCCCCTTCCTCCTCCTCCTCCTCCTCCCGTCATATTCCCCTTCCTCCTCCTCTCCCCACATTCCTGTCCCTCCTCTCCCCATATTCACCTCCCTTTTCCTCTTCCCACCCTCGTCTTCCTCCTCCTCTTCCCACCCTCGTCTTCCTCTTTCCTCTTCCCATCCTCGTCTCCTCCTCCTCTTCCCACCCTCGTCTTTCCTCCTCCCTCTTCCCACCCTCATCTTCCTCCCTCCCCACCCTCATCTCTCCTCCTCCCACCCCTGTCTTCCTCCTCTCCCCACCCTCATCTTCCTCCTCTCCCCCCCTCATCTTCCTCCTCTCCCCACCCTCATCTTCCTCCTCTTCCCACCCTCGTCTTCCTCCTCCTCTTCCCACCCTCGTCTTCCTCTTCCTCTTCCCATCCTCGTCTTCCTCCTCCTCTTCCCACCCTCGTCTTCCTCCTCTTCCCACCCTCATCTTCCTCCTCTCCCTCATCTTCCTCCTCTTCCCACCCTCGTCTTCCTCCCTCCCCACCCTCATCTTCCTCCCCCTCCCACCCTCATCTTCTTCCTCTCCCCACCCTCATCTTCCTCCTCTACCCACCCTCATCTTCCTTCCGTCTCCTCCTTCCATTAGTACTTTCTGCCTGCTGTAGGTTTTGTTCACACAGTCTTCTAAGTCTACCCAACGTCATCGCTGGTGCTGGTGTTCTTGTCTCTTTACTGTACTTGGATTACAGTATTTTACAACTAAGCATCGTATAACGTAACTTAGCTTAACAAACCTTCACACACACTTAGACCCCCCCCCTCACACACCTACAGCCACACATACATCCACCCAAACACACCGATACACCCCACACCCCCAACACACATCGACACACACAGCCTCCCAAGCATACAATTACTACCAACACTTCCCATATACATCCACCCAAACTTCTACACACAACACCTACACCCCACACCACCCACACACCGACACACACATACACACCAGTACTACTTCTTTGCTGTCACTCGAAATCGAGTATGACGATCATCCAGCTATGATAGTGCGGGAGGGTCTGTGGCAGCGTCTTTCCGACGCTGGCGCTTGTCTGCCTCGGTATGCAGTTGTGCTAACTCGAAAGTATTGACACCTTCTCGTGTAGTGCTCCTCCAAGTGTTACGGTGTGGAGTAATCGTCTCCCAGGTGAGGGGGGTCGATTTGGCATTTTTTTCAGGTTTGTCTTAAGACTATCCTTATACCTTTTCAGTTGCCCGCCGGCGTTACGTTTACTATTCGTTATGTGACTGTAAAGTAGCTGCTTTGGCAGTCCATCCGTGGAGTAAGTTGGGAGGCTGTGTGTGTGTCGGTGTGTGGGTAGGTAGTAGGCAGCTACCAAACAGGGAGGTACTACCGCCTGGGAAGATATTGGAAGCATAATGTGTTGTCTAATGGTAGACCCTGCTGCCATATGGCATCACGAAAATTATGACCAAGTCCCAGGTTGCTGATCTGATGTCACCCTAATGTTTTCTATTGGGTTTGAGTTAAGGTAAGTTTAAGTGGTTTGGTTAGGATAAGTTAGGCTAAGATAGTTTGGTTAGGTTAGGTTAGGTTATTCTTAAGTTGCAACAAGCTGATGGTGGGCTCATTAGAGGCACCCTTAGTTCTTAAAATTTCCCTGCCTCGTGGGATCCAGTCATGGCTTTCCTTGGTTTATTTAAAGCGGTTTTGGTTTCCATGAAATAAACAAACACAATTACCACGCCATAGCTTAATAGGCGTGTTACTCGATCAATTTTCTTCAGTCATCACCAATCAGAGGTAATAGCAAACTAACGGCATTCAGTTACTGGAGTTGTGAACAGAACTTGTTTAAGGTTATGAACAGTTTGAACAGTCAGTGAGACCTATTTCCCAGCACCTGAACACCCAAGAGAGACGAGAAGAACTTGATGGTGGGACTTTATGACCGGGTTAGTAAGCGAGAGAAAGAGAGAGAGAGAGAGAGAGAGAGAGAGAGAGAGAGAGAGAGAGAGAGAGAGAGAGAGAGAGAGAGAGAGAGAGAGAGAGAGGCTTCGACAATTGACCTTCTATTTTAGAAAGACCATATAGACTTGGAAGGTGACTAAATTAGAACACTGCGTATGGGTCAGATAAATAAGCAAAATGAATACCTTGTACAGTAACCCTTAAATGAACAAATTCTTATATACAGTTTATATACATTATGACTTTTTTCCTGGGAGTATTTTCTATATTCATCTTATCTCTCAATCCACTATCCTTCCTCCTATCATTCCTCCCCCTTCCCACCTCTTCAGTTCCCTCCATTCTTATGTTCCTACGTGTCTCCCTCACTCCTATTCCCACATCTCTATCATCCTCCTCTTTTTTTTTATTATCCCACTTCCTCTTAAATCTTAACCCTCACCTCCTTGCATTTTTCTCCCCTCCCTTCCTTCCTCCTCTCCTTATCTACTCTCTCTCTTCCTCATCCTCTTCTTCCATCTACCTACCTTTCTTTTTCTTCCACTATTATTTGTTTAGTTTTACCTTTCAGCCATCTTTCTTTTCATCTTATGTTCATAACTCTTCGACTACTGGGGTTAGGTTAAGTTATAGTAGGGTAGGTTAGGTTAGGTTAAGTTATAGTAGGTTAGGTTAAATTATAGTAGGTTGGGTTAGGTTATAGTAGGTTACGTTATGTCAGGTTAGGCTAGTGTTGGTTAGGCTAAGTTAGGTTAGGTTAAGTTAGGTTAGGTTAGGTTAGCGTAGGTTAGGCTAGGTTCTAAGATGGCTCCATCCTCCCTAGGTCTAATGGTTTTAGTTTAGGTTATGTAAGGTTAACTGTAAGATTAAATTAGTTTAGGTTAGGTTATGTTAGGTAACTGAACGCATGTCAGCTGCACCTGTCGAATGTTCTCCTGACTTTTAACTGCAAAAGCGTTCTTTTGTGCTTCAAGTTCCTGCTTCCTCTCTTCAGTGATTCCTTTAAATCACCGCTACACTAAGTGAACTCTATCCCAACTTTTTTATTCCGGGGTTGACACTCAACACAGAAACAAGTGTACAGCAGCCAAGACTTCAGGTTCACTCAGACCTCATGGAACGTAATCCACAAAGTCTTAAAATACCTCACTCAGTCTAAGTTTCTGCCTGGGTTGTTGTCTTCCTCCCCACCCGTATCCTCTGCCTCCTCCGTCACCTCAACTAATTAAGCGTTTTCCTCGTGAGGTAACTTCAAATACCTGTTTGGGCAATTCTACTCTTCCCTCCACCACAGTATGTTCTTCACCAGTGAACAGCATGTACTTCACCAAGCCAGTCACACAGGAAGCGACCTGGAGTGAACTGTACCACAGCAACTGGAGCTTGAGCAATAAGGGGGGGGGGGGAATTGACGTGGGTGGTAACATGATTCACCGTAGCTGTCTCCAGTGACCCATGAGAGATGACACCGAGTTCACACAAAAGCGAGATACAGGAATGAGGAGTTGGTGAGGGTGGAGGAGGGAGGAAGGAGAGGACCCAGGAAGGGAGGGGCGTTGAAGGGAGGGAGGGAAGGTGTTGGGAGTAAAGGTGGTGGGAGGGAGGGAGTTGGGTGCGATGTATTTCGGTCATAGGGTCACAGTGAGGATGTCCCTCCTTTACAAGGAGTGACGGAAATAACAGTCCCTAAGAGTCAGTACAGAATACGAAACTGTGGGGGGGTCCCTGTCGGAGAGTCAGCAAACTACACTGTGGGAGTCCTTGCTTGAGAGTCAGTATACCACACTGTGGGGGTCCCTGTCGGAGAGTCAGCAAACTACAGTGTGAGGGTCCTTGCTTGAGTTAGTTTACTACACTGTGGGGGTCCCTGTCTGAGAGTCAGTAAACTACACTGTGGGAGTCCTTGCTTGAGTCAGTTTACTACACTGTAGGGGTCCCTGTCTGAGAGTCAGTAAACTACAGTGTGAGGGTCCTTGCTTGAGTCAGTTTACTACACTGTGGGGGTCCTTGCTTGAGAGTCAGTATACCACACTGTGGGGGTCCCTGTCTGAGAGTCAGTAAACTACAGTGTGAGGGTCCTTGCTTGAGTCAGTTTACTACACTGTGGGGGGTCCTTGCTTGAGTCAGCCTTACTACACTGTGGGGGTCCTTGCTTGAGTCAGCTTACTTCACTGTGGGAGTTCCTTTAACTCATGGTACAACAGCGCTGATGCGGGGGATTTCTCACACTCCCCACAAACAGGTAGAAATCGCACAGGTGATAAGGCCTAATGTGGGCGGTGACTTGCAGCCCGCGGGAGGAGCGTCATGTCAAGGAGAGTTGATGGCTGGTGAACGACGTGTAGTGTTGGGTGGGTGGAGCCAGCCAGTCTAGTCGGCAGCTTCTACAGGGGCACACAGGCAGCGAGGAAGGTCCCCGTCAGCTTGAGTAGAGACGAGCGAGCGAGGCAGAGAAATAAGCCAGGGAGCGGGCGGTAGATTGTTCCTCACCTTTTTCTCGTCTAAGCTAACGTCAGAGTTAAATACACAGGTTTGTTTACTTTGTTTCAAAGCTAAGAGAGTGGTGTTAAAATTTTCCTTCTGTTAGTAAGTACATCATGTTGTGGTTCTCTTTTGCTGTGGTGGTACTCTCTTATCTTTAAGTATGTATATACTGTGGTGACTATTTTTTTTGAGGTGTGGTGTTAGTTTTGTAGTAATTCTTTTTTCTTACATTGATTTGATATCTTTTGATTGCTGTGGTAATCTTTTGTTAGAAGGTATAATTGCAATGGTACTTGAATGTTTTTTTTTTAATATTATGTTGTGTGAAAGGAGCGTCGGTCTGTGATTTAGAGGTGTTTTTGTGTTGTTAATGTTAGCGTTGTTTTTGGTGCTGTTGTGGCTCGGGTAGTTTATGGTGCTGGACGGACACTTGGGGGATGAGCTAGCAAAATGATGATCGCCTTCAATCTTCTACCAGGAAATGTGTTATTACAAGGCCGAAGACCGAGTAAGGAGCGTAAAGAGAGAGAGAGAGAGAGAGAGAGAGAGAGAGAGAGAGAGAGGACCACCCCATCAACATCACACTATCAAACAATAACAAACATCAACAGCACAGCTTCCGTGCCTCGCCAGTGTACCCTAAAATACACACACACAATATTCTCATACCATTCTTAGTATAATTATAACCTTCCCCTTGCTGTTCTGAAGTAATTATTATCTCTTACTTCACTTAACTTGGCGAGACAAGAGAACAATGCACTGGAGAGCATTCTTGCTTCACCAATTAGTGGTCACGGGTTCGATCCCCGGTGAAGATGAAACCGTGGCCAAGTTTCTTTGCACCAATTACATCTCGTCTACCTAGCGGTAATTAGGAGGCTTGGAACTTAATTGGTTATTGGATTATATATATTTATGGTTTATAATTAGCCAGTGCAGGCAGCGAGTTGTCCGGTCGTTCTGGGGCTACTATTTATATTGAGTTTTTATGGTTTGCTAATTCAGGGTTTAGTGGATGTCTTGGCTGTAGCTTCTACACCGTAAATCAATTAAGAGTGTGGTGTGCTGACTGTGTCACATTATGTAAAGAAAAACAAAATAAATTAACTGTTAAACTTGTAGATATTTCTTTTATCAAGCAGATCTGAGCAGGAAGAGCAGGGGACCGAAACACCGCCATGCTTGGGTCCGTGGTTGGGTTCGCCTTCAGTCTTCTGTTGGCGTCGTCTGCGGCCAAGACAGTTCAGACCTACGAGAACCAAAATGTTACTACGAACAGTGACTCATCGGGTCCGGATTACATGACCACTCTGTTGAAGAGTGCTCTTAGAGGCGTTGGAGGAGACATGGCGGAAAATGTTGGCTCGATGCTATTGCCGACGATCCTGCAGCAGCTCCCTGATGCTGACGGTCTGAAGACTATGATTACTGACGGCATGGGAGTTCACGAAGACTTTCTCAAGCCTCTCCTTAAGCTTTTCGACGGGATGAATAAGCTGGACGGGGCTTCATTGCGAGCTTTTGCTGACGGGATGGACTTTATCGGTGGAAACAGCATCATGGATGGTGAAGGCGGCGTCGATGGGGCTGTGAACGACTTAAACACAGAGACGACCATAAACAATCAATTTCTGGATTTAGTCAAGGACGTCTTTGGAGATGAACTCAAGGGAATGACATCCCTCTCCTTATCTAAAACCACCGAGGGTTCCGGGGACATGACAGATAGCTTTGGGAATCTTGATGTAACTCCAACCAGCGTGTGGATGCTTGTCAAATCTACCTGGCAGCGGGTACTGGCTTACGTGGAGGAAGAGAACGCTCTATCGTACTTCATGCAGTTGACGCCCGTGAGGATCATCGACCGAGTACTGAGCCTGGGAGACGACCTCAACCTCATGAACTTCCTGGCTAAGAAACTAGACAAGGACTTTGCAGAGTTCATCTCGGAGGAGGTCACCCCGTTCCTTGGACCTCTCAAGAATTTTGACAGCTTCTACAACTTTACTAAAGAAAACGGCTTCAGCGGCGTTTTCGACTACTTCAAAAGCAAAAATTTCGGCTACACCATGACCGCAATGTCTCGCTTCATATCGGCTTACTTCGACGACACTTTCTCAGACGATGTCGCCGACGAGTACATCGCCTTCATCTCCTTCAACAACCCCGACCTGTACAACTTCTACAGGTCACTTTTAAGGAGCCAGAAGAAGACCGAAGGAAGGAAGTATGATTCCAGTGCCGGCAGGAGAGTAAAGAGGGAAGACTTCGCAAAAGCAGCCAGCACTTTCAAGTTCAATGGTTACGACTTCCAGCCGAAAGATGAAGCTGAATCTGGTCGAGAATTGGCCGCTAGAGACAGCGGGTATGGAGGTGGAGGACACAGTGACGGCGGTGGCGGCGGTTATGGTGGCGGTGGTGGTGGCGGCTATGGCGGTGGTGGAGGCGGATATGGTGGTGGTGGAGGCGGATATGGTGGTGGTGGCGGCGGCTATGGTAGTAGCGGATATGGAGGAGGTGGCTATGGGAGCAGCTATGGTGGTGGTGGCGGTGGCTACGGCAGCAGCCATGGCGGCGGCACCACGATGATAGACCCAGCTGTGGTGCTTAGCTCTGTGGCCATTGGGGCTCTCTTGGGCTTCCTGCTCTTCAGGCTGATTCGAGGAACAGGGAACGGGAGGCGAGACATCGGGGACGGGTCTCTGTCACTCTGGCTCTCTGACTTGCCTGACAAAGTCTTACCCTGGGGCACCAGCGTCGAGCGCATGAAGCGAGACGCCCACAACTTCAACAAGACGGGGGAGGAGGAGTTCTCCCTGCCAGACTCACTACGGGGCGACGTCTGGTCTTCTGATCCTCTGGTCGGCGACAATCTTCTGGCCGACGAACTTGAGGAAGACGACATCGCGGACCAGCTGAACCACCTGTGGAGGGTGTACAAACACAGCAATCAGACCACCTGCGTTCAGTCCCGCCTGTGTGACGTCATTGCCAACAGCACAGCAGAACAGCTGACTGGGAAGGACTCCAGTATGGCCCTCTTGATGTGAGTATTTCCTCTCTCTCTCTCTCTCTCTCTCTCTCTCTCTCTCTCTCTCTCTCTCTCTCTTTCTCTCTCTCTCTCAATTGGAAATGACACAATCTACTGATGGGATCGTATCAAGGATTCAAGAGTTGGTATGGCAATTTTTTTCGGGCCCCTCCACTAGACATACTATGAACGTTGTCCTTACGCACGCGCACGCACGCATGCACGCACGCACGCACGAACATAGAACATCCTTAAATCGTAAGAGTCTGAACAAGTTAACTCCACAAGTGTTCTAGAAGTGGTCCACCAAAATTGCGGAAGAGGTTGATTAACCGTAGCCAAGAAGAGTATAATGTAAACAGATAATATATTGGCATCACAAATTATGTGTTATATTAGGCGTCTTATGCTCTTAAATTTTAGGGTGGAAAAAGTAGTTGTCATCTTTCATTAAAACTAAAGTCAAGTTTCAACTAATAAATCACGAGTATAGTAGTTTGTGTGTGTGTTGACTGTCTCTATTTCTTCATATTTTTCATGTACAATGTTTTCAACTAAAAAAAAAAGTCTTTAATTGAAATATTCATTATTCAATCAAACTCTGATGATCAAACCTAACCTTTGGTGTCTCTTTTGCAGGGCCTCTGTGAGCAACCTGATGGGCGTGGTCGGGCCAGGTCAAATGATGGATGACGTCATACAGACCCTGGTGGTGGGCAACCCCTACAGCTGCCCGTCTGTCTCTCATTGTCAGTTATTGTAGCGGTATCCAGGGTCGTCTTCGTACATCTTACTAGCGAGTGACTCTTCACAAGCAAGTTTGTAATAACCTCTACGACTACTGTCTTCCTCTAAACGTTTCTGAAGATTCTCTGTGACTTATTAACTTTCCTATGTGACCATGACCCATCTGAGGAACAATGAACGTATCTGAAGCAACCCCAGAAACTACGAACTCCCTCTATGAACGTTTCTGATATATTTCTACGATGACCAACGATTGTGTGGGATGTCTACAATCGCTCACGTTTCTGGTGGACTCTGGCGGCTGCTTCCTCCCTCGCTCATTGTGGCAGCAAAATGTTTCTTTCAGGCATCAACCTCCTTTGACGGAGTTACCTGTTAATTCACTTACTAATTTATTTACTATTATTATGTGTTTATTTATTTAATCGTCGCACATAGATTTATTTATTTGAATCACTTATTTATTTACATTCATCACCTCATACGTTCATACGCACAGACATACACCATATGGTTAGTTAAACTTAGGTACAGAATATTCTTTAAAACAATAATTTTTCACCTTATCAATTATTATATTATGACCGGATGTATTTATTAAATATAATGAATTGAAAATAAAAAGTATTATGGAAATTCTTTTGTCATCATTTTGTAACTGAAAAAATACGTATTTTTATAAAAATTACTGTTGTTAGTTACATATTATATACATGTAGGTTTATACTTAGTTGTATTAGCTGTGTTGTATTGCATATTTCACTGGGTAATAAACAAAATTAAGAACACAATTGTTTTAATTCCATCTTATTATAACCTAACCTAACCGTACGTAACCTAATCTAAGCTAACCTAACCTGTCACAGACATAGAAACAGACAAATACAAATAAACTCAAATACACATATGCAGACAGACAGATAGAGAGGGACAGACCAGGAGACAGATAGGCAGAAACATATAATTATCCAGAGAGAAAGACAGACACATACCTCGACATTGTGGTGTACTCTGAGGAGGAGGAAGACACTCACAGTCGTCCAGTTCCTGAAAAATGAAAAGAAGAAGAAAATGTAACAGAAAAAACTATATCTATAAATTAAAATGATAAAATATTTATATAAATAGAAATATTCAAATGTGTCTGTAAATAGAACTCTCAAGAGAAACAATGATAGACAAATAAGATAAACTATAACAAATACAATAAGCAAAACTATGATCTTTTTTCAGTGTGAATAAGAAGAAGAACAAGTAGAAAATAAACAAAACACAATTTATAATAATAATAATAACAATAATAATAATAATTATAATAATGATAATAATAATAATAATAACAATAATCATAATAATAATAATAATAATAATAATAATAATAATAATAATAATAATATAATACAGATGAAAATAAGACACAATGACAAGACATAACTCTAGGAGACAATAAACAGACGGACGATAAACAAACACAAAATATCATATTATTGTATTTATAAACGTGAGGTCCCAACACCTGTCTTTCTACAGGTATAAATTAATTTAAACTAATACAAATTGATGTAAATAAAAATAAATGAATGTAAATAGCTATATTTTAATATCTAAAAGAGACAGGTAGGTATTAGGCACAGGTGTTATGTATTGTACAGTCAAAGAAATAAGTTGCGTTACACTCCCAAGTGTTTGGTTCCGTAACCCTTGACGAAGTATTTGCGTAAAGTGACAGCAAAGCTTCGAGGCTCGAGTCTGAACGGGTAACTTTACCGAAATTCTCTGTCATGGGTTTTAGAACATAAGGCATGTCATTATTATTAGTAGTATAACGCAACTTTTGTCTGTGACTGTATATGTGTGATGTTACGACTCACAGTTAGGTGCGGAGCGGTCCTGCCACTGTGGAGTTATGTGAGATGTTTCTCTTCCATCCTGTGTGAGTGCGTCACTCCGGGGTCACCATTTGTGGGGATAAGGGTTACTTGGTTCACACTCAGGATGTGATGGAGAAAGGAAACTCACAATGTGCTCTCTGTATACATATTATATTGGATGTACAATGCAGCTTGGTGGCTGGTGCTGGGAGGAGGCAGCATGGTTACAAGCGTTGAGTAGAGAGAGCTGGTTGGTGAGGGTGCTCAGAGGAGGACCAGCTTGTGGGTCGCCATGCTCGCCGGTGGGAGCGAGGGCCGCCAGGCATGAGCGGAGGAGGTGGTGTTTCTTGCTGGTTGGTGTAGGTAGAAAGAGAGGTAGGTCACCACGAGGTCAGGTCTTATATAGCGGAGGTAGGCGTGGCTTAATAGTTGACCTCCGTCATGTAAGGCGGCGCTGGTTGACCTAGACCACGAGGCATACACTGGGGAATTCGCGGGGTCGGCTACTCAGCTACAAGCGTTTGTAGGGGAGGAATCCACTATACCACCCTCGTGACCGTGGCTGTGTCGCCGGGGTGAACTATGTTACCTCTTGGCGGCTCCACCCGACACAAACACAGAGACTCAAAGACAAGGACATAAAACAAAGATACTTATACAAAGGCAGACAGACAGACAGAAATACGAACCCACACATATCTATTCACAGACACACTCATATACACACGCGCACACCCATCCACAAACAAACACACACACACACACACACAAGGATGCTGAACACGTATACATCTCTATTATGGTGGCAATGCGTTAAGTGTTGGATATCACGTTTATGAGCCTCCTACTGGGTCATCACACAACGCGTCGAGTTATAACACTAAAGTCTCAGTGCACTTTTTACGTCATATTCTCAGATATATCTCGGTGCCGCAGGTTATGAGAGAGTTAATGTGATGAATTATTAAGGAGAACCGAGACTCACTTTTGAGATAAAAATTTATCTTAAATTCTTCATCAGCAAGACAAGAGGAATCGCCTGAAGATTGGCTCCCAATTTATTTTCCCTGAAGCTTAAACGTCCTATTGCTAACGTAACCTAACAAAATCTAACCTAACCAAACCTAATCTTAACAAAATCTGAATTAAACTAACAAAATATATCCCCCCCCCAGGTAGTATTAGGATGGGTAATCTTCACGTAACATCAAATTGGGCAGAGAAGAATCTTCCGATGAGTCGACAAGAATATAATATGTTTTCCTCCCACCACAAATATGTCATTTACCTATAATGCGTTGCCAGGTTCAGTGAACGTGACGGTTTCGTTCTCCAATTACGGTGTAGATTTTTTAGCGAATGACTGTCTAAAGAAAAAAAAATCGGTCAAGACAAGTCATCCTGGGAGCATTACGGATCAACGACTTGGATGATCGTTTCGTTTTTATTTATATATTTTGTGTGTGTTACCTGTAAGTGTTGTTGGCTTATCACCTCTGGTACACACTGGAAGCAACGAGTTGGACAAGGTAATTTTTTGGTCCGTTGCAGCAACTGCAGAGAGATCGACTGTAAATCTCTTAACGCTAAGTCATAGTCGAAAAAACAAAACGTAAACAGTGATATTAAAGCTGTGTAGTATTTGATTTTACAATGACGTGTATTAAAGTAATTGTTTCGTTGTCATCGTCATATCTCATTAGACACACAATGGTACAAAATTTTTACTTTTAATTGTTGATGGACAAGTATAATTACTAACCTGGTTGAAGCACAGTAATACCATTATAACGTCAACCTCACGATGGAAGCAGCGATATGTGGGAATCTCTCAGTTAACAGTACTTATTAAAAGCTAAATTGATGAATCACCTACCTTACCAACTCCTGGAAATAAATATACCGATTTCACTAACTATACAGCAAACTAACTGAAAGCTGTCTTTGCCTTGTCATCAGCGGTACCATAAAAACACTCGCCGAGGAAGGTCTGGTTGCTTAATTAAGATGTGCAGTAAAACAGGTAAAGTTGTCGTTATAAAGTTTTCTTTATATAGGTGTTAATAACCCAGACAGGTATAACACTTAACGCAGATCCGAATATCAAAACAATATGGGATGTTCAGAGTACGAATTGTAAACTCGCCAACCCTCCCCGAAAATTTGGGATGAGTGCAGGGGGGCGGAAAGTTACTGTAGTAATTCCTATACCGATCGTCTCATATCATCTAGGTTACACAGAGATTAAAAGCAATAACATGGAGATCCTGATATTTTTTATTTAATTATTTATTTATTTATTTATTTATTTATTTATTTTACAGAGAGAAAACCTTATTGTTGTGCTGCGCCAAGGATACGTCCAAGCTGTACACTCACAGTAGGTAATAGTTTTCATGTCATTCTTGGTTGAGCTTGACATTATCTGAGTCTGATTGACAGATGTGGTTTTTGGTTGACAGGAATGGTTGTTGGCTGGGAATGACAATTAGTAGATGTATGGTTGATCAGGAAAACAATTGGTTAACTTGGTTGAATGAATAGATGACTGAAAAAGCAACTTCGTCAGTATGGGGGAGGTATCACTCTTCGATATTTCTTCCTCCTCCGTCAAAAAGCATTTCTTTCACATTCTGAGTCACAGTTCAGGCCTCGACAATTAGAAACTCCCCAGCCGATATTCCGCTTTGACTTGGTCTTCATCCAGATCACAAAGTATGTCATATTGAGTAATTGGCGTAGTTGTTGAAGGGGGGCGTGGAAGGTCGGGTACGGGAGGGTAGGAAGCGAGGGGTTGGAGGGGGAGGGAGGGTGGGAGGTGAGTAGGAAAGCGGGATGGATGGGGAGGGTGCAGCGAAGAACGTGAGTGCCTGCCTGGCCTAGTACGCCACGTCACTCGGTGGGGTGGGAGGTGGGGCCGTGAGTGTTGGTCGTCTTCGGGTGACTGGCACGAGAAAGCTTCTTCGTAAAAATGGGCTTGCAAGGAACCAAGTCGGGTCAGTACGGTGGTTGACGTCGCGCGGACTGACGTGTAGCAGCGGCAGGAACGGAAAGGTGGGGCAATTGTTCGCTCAGCCAGTGTCGTCGTGGGAACAACCAGTCAGACAGAGGCGACGCGGCGAGAGGAGCTGACAGCAGTTCACCTAACAAGAGCAATACGAATTACAACATCAGTACGAGAGGAGGAGCTCTAGGGTGAAGAGGAGAGGGGCTGTGTTCTACCAACTCCCAAAGTCAAGAGGTGTTGAGGCAAACTGGGAGAGAGAAATAGTCAAGTACCTTCAGAGCTTCGGCAGGAGATAGCAGCACCAACTCACGACAACGACACACCTTAAAAACTGACGTGTGAGCGAGAAGCTGGCAGGTACGTCTTAAACAATGATCATTCTCAAATGATATCTTTCCGTGACTTCCGAATCTTGTGGTTTTATCGGAAGAGTAAATGAAGATCTTTGCTCGTGCTGTACCTCACACCTCTCCAACACCATTATTTCAGCACCCGTTGAGCGTAACCACAGGTACACTGACGCAAATTATATACTTGGTCTTCGAATTGGATTAGATATGCTATCTTCTAGACAATACACGTATCTTAAGATTGATTCACGTATATTGAAAATTAAAGCTATACAGATACAACCCAACAAGGCACCCCAAGACAGGAAGGACACACTCGTGTACCTTACTTTAAAAGTTCACAAAATCTCTATACCATCGGAGGAAAATGAGAGAGTTCATGACTAGGATCAGACAGCAGTACAGGAAGCCTTTACTACTGTGGTCACAATGGACGTTAAGTTCTTGGATCGTACACCAATTCAAGTGGACTACAAAACAACACAGTAAAACACACTCGCCTATAAAAAAAGTAGAGATGAATGTATTGTAAGATATAACCTTCATTTTACCTTCACTACAGAACTACAAATCCTGATTCTAATTTATATTTTTAATTTTCAAATACTCTAAAGTCAGACAGGTGTCACCTGTACTGTACCCATCAGTGTACACACATACACACACGCACACCCACATGCGCACACAAACGCACTTACAGCCACACACACACACACACACACACACACAAAAGAAAACCACAACACACGCTACTCCAGCGACCAGCTTACTTACCTACAGTTTGGGTTGGCAGAGGTAAACAGGACACCTTTGTCAGGATATCGTTTTTACTCAGGGAAGTCTGTCTGTTTTTTGTCTTTGTCTCTCTCTAATATTGGTACTACCACACCCACTACTGCTAACACTACTGCAGCTTATAGCAATTTAAAATGTAATTTGTCTTGTTTTTTCACTAACTTTACACATCTATTATCCTGGAGAATTCACACCTAAAATGTTTAACTATATACATCCTTTAATCGGTAACTATTCATTGATAAATTCCTTAACTATCCAAACACTTATTTTAAACTATCCCGATCTAATTTAGTTAACTATCTATATACGATACGCCAAATATCCAACAACTATCCACACCGTATCGTAAACTATCCACACCCTATTCTGAGCTACCTGGTTCCAAAATATCCTTCAAATATCTGTTAAAATCCTCACCTATTCTCGCGTTAATAGGTGGTATATGTGCTCGACCGTAAAGTTAAGAGGGATGGTTCGGTTGTTTGGGTGATGGTTGGGTGGGTGATGGGTAGGTTGGTGATGGGTGGGTTAGTGATGGGGGTGGGTGGGTGATGAGTGAGTTATGGATGTGGGTGTGTGAGTGTTTGGGTGGGTGATAGGTTATTTAGTGATGGGTGGGTTGTTGGGTGGGTTATGGGTGGGTTGATGAGTGATTGAGTGAGTTGGTGATGGGAGGATGGGTGGGTATGTAGGTGGTGGGTGGGTGGGTAAGTGGGTGGGTGGGTGCGGGTGGTTGCGTGGATGTGTGGGTGGTTGGGTGGGTTGGTGGGTGGTTAGGTGGGTGGGTGGTTGGGTGGGTGGGTGGGTGTATGGGTGTCAACAATATGAAAACAAAATTTTCTTTCTAAAAAACCTTCTCTCTTAACTTTCATTTAATTTTCCTTTTTATCGCTTTCCCTTCTCCTCTCCTCTTTCCTTCTTTCTCCCCACTCCCCTTCCTCTCCATCCCTCCTCCTCTCCATCCACTTCCTTCCCACGTCTTCATTCTGCTCTCCCACCGTACACTATCTACTATGGTACCTCACCACTCAGAGTACAAAGGCTTCAACTCTCTTTAAAAAGTTACAGTTATTGATAATAGTTGTTCAACGTATTGCTGTTGAGAGTTTTAATAGTTATTGCGAGTAGTTGTTGTTGTAGTATTTGCTGTAGTAGTTACTCTATAGTTCTTGCTAATGATAGTTGTATTAATTGTTGTCGTTAGTGGTAATAGCTATTGTTGACTATAGTGGTAATAGCTATTGTTGACGGTAGTGGTAATAGTTTTTGACGGTAGCGGTAATAGTTGTTGAAGGTAGTGGTAATAGTTGTTGACGGTAGTGGTAATAGTTGTTGACGGTAGTGGTAATAGTTTTTGACGGTAGTGGTAATAGTTGTTGACGGTAGTGGTAATAGTTGTTGACAGTAGCGGTAATAGTTGTTGACGGTAGTGGTAATAGTTGTTGACTGTAGTAATAGTTGTTGACGGTAGTGGTAATAGTAGTTGACGGTAGGTTGACGGTAGTGGTAATAAGGTACGGTATAATAGTTGTTTAATAGTTGTGACGGTAGTGGTAATAGTTGTTGACGGTAGCGGTAATAGTTGTTGATAGTTGTTGACGGTAGTGGTAATAGTTGTTGACGGTAGTGGTAATAGTTGTTGACGGTAGTGGTAATAGTTGTTGACGGTAGTGGTAATAGTTGTTGACGGTAGTGGTAATAGTTGTTGACGGTAGTGGTAATAGTTGTTGACGGTAGTGGTAATAGTTGTTGACGGTAGTGGTAATAGTTGTTGACGGTAGTGGTAATAGTTGTTGACGGTAGCGGTAATAGTTGTTGACGGTAGTGGTAATAGTTGTTGACGGTAGTGGTAATAGTTGTTGACGGTAGCGGTAATAGTTGTTCATAGTTTCTGTGATGTTCTTTCATAGACACTGGTAACAGCAGTGGTTGATAATAATGGTTGTAATTGAGGGTAACTGTTGGGGTAGTTAAAGTTGAGGAGTTAGGGTCAATTTAGAACGGTTGGACACGACTAGTTAAAGACCGAACGCTGCCTGTAAATGCGAACACCAGTTGAGGATAAATTGATGGTGGGTATGGTTGATGATGGTGGTGGTGTTGGTAGTAGTGGTGGTGATGATGGATGGTGGTGGTGATGGTAGTAGTGGTGGTGATGGTGATAATCGTTGATAGTGGTGGTGCTAGTGGTGGTGATGGTGATTGTGGTTTGTGGTTGCTAGTGATGATGTTGGTGATAGTGCTGATGGTGATGATGGTGGAGGTGCTAATGGTAGTGATGGTAATGATGGATGGTGGTGGTGATGGTGAGGATAGATGGTGGTGGTGGTTGATGGTGGTGGTGCTAGTGTTGGTGATGGTGATGATGGAAGGTGGTGGTAGTAGTTGATGGTGGTGGTGCTGGTGGTGTTAGTCGTGATGATGGAGGCGGTAGTAGTGATGATGGTGGAGATAGTGGTGGTGATCGTGGTGGTATTGATGATGATGGCAGTGATGGTGATGGTAGTGATAGTGGTGGCAATAGTCTCTATATTTTTATTTGCCTCTCTGGTTCTCTGTTTCTATCTGTCTGTCTGTCTGTCTGTCTGTCTGTCTGTCTGTCTGTCTCTTCCTTCACATACAGTCAACCACAACAGTAGTTCTACCGCTGACCAATCACAAGGCTAGTGTTTTAAATGTTAATTACCTTTTATTTCGCACGCACATTCATCACTCAGGCTGGATTAAGGAGATGGTTTCAATAAGTGCCCGCTGTGGATATCCGTCGGTGGTCGCGTCAAGGCAAATCATCCACTCTCACCAGCGGTCACTGTACTGTACCTAGACACACGGAACGTTGTTGATAGCACATAACTGTAACATTAGAAGCAGTACGAACAATCAGTAGCGCCTTGTTTTCGTTAAAGTGTGCGGTAATAATAGATGTGCAGGTATTGTGTCATCTGTTAAAAGCTATATGACGCTGACTTCTTTAAAACCTTTTTTTTTTCTTAGGTGTTTGCTGGTGGTTTCTGGTCAAGCACGGGCTGTTTCTATAGTCCATCAGTCCACCAATTCAATAAATACACGGGTTTAAGTTAATTAATTTTAGAACGTTTGTCTATCTGTTGTTCCCGTCGGTGATCACTTGTAGTGGGAGTAATGGAACAGTATGTGGGGTAGCGAAGAACTTGATTTTTTTTTTAGTATAGAAGAGAAAAAGGAGGAGAGGACACAAGAGGAAGGAATGAAGGGGATTTAGAGAAGGGAGAAGAATAAAAGATTGAGGAGGAGGAGAAGGAGGAAGAAGCAGAGACGAAGTAAATGGTTAAACTGAGATTGATGAAAATTAAATGTTTTTTAGTTTATAAAATTATCTAATAATACAGGTCTGTTCAACTGAGTGTGAAGAGTAAAGAGTCTGTTGTTTGTTTCTTACAGAAGGATCATGAGAGAAGAGAGATACATTACACACTTGACGATGTCGAGATTCGCCCTTTTCTTCTGCCTTCTGGTGGTGACGTCATCCTTAGCCAAGACTGCTGATGTGGCTGACGCAGAGACCAGTACCTCCACCAGCAGCTTCCTGACGAACAAGCTCCTGACACAGCTGCTGGGGGAGAACCTGGGAATGGAGAACCTGTTTTCTCTCTTCAAGAAACTGCCAGGAGACGTTGACGGAGGAACAGTTGTTGATAAATTTAAGTCCCTTCTGCTGAAGCAGTTGCCGGACTTCGAGGCTTTCAGTAACGTGGTAGCAGACGGTGTGGGGCTCAACCAACACTTCCTGAAGCCCTTCGTCAAGATTGTGAGCAACATGGGCAAACTAAGCAAGAAGAAGCCATTAAATTCCAAGAGCGATATCGATGCTGTATTTGAGTTTGTCGGTCAGTACATTAACACAGACGACGAGGATGACCCAGAGGACAACAGCGCCGCCGAAGATTTTTCCAGTGAAGCAACTGATGACGATGACTCGAACACCACAAATGACATCAATATCAAGTTCTTCGACCTGGCCAAGGGACTCTTGGAGAGTAAATTCGGGAACCTCAGCACCGTCATTGCGTCCTCAACTGTTGACCATCCAACAGAGTTATCAAGCCTCAATCTGACCTCCTCCAACGTGTGGATGATAGTCAAGTCCACCTGGCAGAAAGTCCTGGCCTACGTTGAGGAGGAGAACTCCCTCGAGACCTTCATGCAGCAAACTCCCGTCAGGATAATCGACCGCGTGTTGAGTCTTGGTGACGATGTCAACCTCGTCAACTTCTTGGCTAAAAAACTAGATCCAGACTTCGCTGAATTCTTGGCAGGTGAAATCAACCCCTTCCTCGGTCCCTTGAAGGACTTCGACAGTTTTTACAATTTCTCTAAAGAAAACGGACTGAGCGGGATCATTGACTACTTCACATCTGACAAATTCAGTTACTCTGTGAACATGTTGTCGCGATTCGTGTCGGCATACCTGGAAGACACAGTCTCAGACGATGTTGTGAACCAGTACATAGAATTCATCTCTTTCAACAACACAGATCTGCACAATTTCTATAAATCAGTGCTGCGGAGTCAAGGTAAGACTATTGACACGGGCGACTCCGACGTGCAGCGCGACAACACGACGCTGCGATACAAAAGAGACGTACTGCAGAATATCCCCAACAGCTATAAATTCAACGTCGCAGATTCGGACCAAATTTACTCCGACACCACCACCAACTCCGGCAGACAACTACAGCGGTACGGTGTGTTGGGCAATGTCGGCAGCGCCAGCAGCCTCCTGTACGACCCCTCTCGAGATGGTTATGGAGGCGGGGGCGGGTACAGTAGCGGTGGTGGGTACGGCGGCATGAACATGAACTCTCTGGATCCTTACGTCATCCTGGGTTCACTGGCACTGGGAACCATCTTAGGCTTCCTTTTGTTCCGCGCCCTCAGAGGGACAGGTGGTGGGAGACGTGATATCGGAGACGGGTCTTTGTCTCTCTGGCAGTCAGATATTCCCAGCCAGATCCTTCCCTGGGGCACCAATGTGGAGCGAATGAAACGCCAAGTCCAGGAGAAGGGCGACGAGGAGTTCAACCTGCCTGACTCACTAAGAGGCGACGTCTGGTCCACTGATCCTCTGGTCGGCGACAATCTCCTGGCAGAAGAACTTGAAGAAGACGACATCGCGGACCAGCTGAACCACCTGTGGAGGGTGTACAAACACAAGAACGAGACCGCCTGTGTTCATTCTCACCTGTGTGGCGTCATAGCCAACAGCACGGCGGAACAACTGACTGGGAAGGACTCCAGTATGGCCCTGTTGATGTGAGTATATACCAGAAGGTGATTTAACGTGAGTTATCTCGTAATTCCCCTTTTTCCTTGTTCCTTATTTCCTCTTTCTTGTTCCCTATTTACTCTTCCTTGTTCTGTATATCCTCTTCCTTATTCCCTATTTTTCCTCTTTCTTGTTCTGTATTTCCTCTTTTGTTCCCTATTTCCTCTTCCTTGTTTCCTATTTCCTCTTCCTGTTATCTATTTCCTCTTCATTATTCCCTATTTTTCCTCTACCTTCATATCTATTCCTCCCTTCTTTATTATGTTTATTTAGACAGTTGTTAAATATCCGGGTCCGGCCTATCTGGGTCCGTCCTTTACATTGCTTCTGCGAGAGCCGGATATGTTTGACTTACGTTAAGCATACCAAACTTAATGAAACGTAATCTAACTAGAACCAACGTAACGTAACGTAACGTAACGTAACCTAACCTAACCTAACCTAACCAAATGCAATCTCAAGTTCTTAGATCTAGTTTTGTTTGTCTACATGTCTGACCTTGCGGCTTACCGTGCAAGCGTAATATAACAGGTATTTCCGGTTCTTTAATATTAATGAGTCTAAAACCAAACTTCTGATAAAAAAACGCTGCATATTTATATATTAATTACATTTAATAATAATAAAGAAAAAATCTTCTTTACTGACTTTGACCTTTATCTTCAGGGCATCGGTGAGCAATATGATGGGTATGATCGGATCAGGTCAGTTGGTGGATGACGTCACCAAGAATCTAGTGGTGGGGGACATCTTCACCTGCCCAACCTTCACTAGCTGTCACCACCTGCTCTAGTTGGATGACACCACCTGCTCTAGTTGGATGACACCACCTGCTCTAGTTGGGTGACACCACCAGATATGCCACGAGGCAGCAAGTTACTGGGACACAGGCTACGAGGACACTGACTACAGACGACGAGGACACATACAGGCTATAGACTACGAGGACACTAGCTTCTGGCTGCAAAAAACGATGGAATTAAAGGAAGTACGAGAATAAAAAAGGAAAGAGAGCCGGCAATGCAAAATTGACGCTAAACAAGTACACATAACAAGAAAAGGTCGAATGCAAGCACCAGAAACGTTTTCAAGTCATCCTCAAATGCAGATAGCGAGCTCGAGCAAGAACTTAAGTATGCAGGAACATTTTCAGAAAGATATGGATGTTCAATAAGATGTTGGACAAACATTCGTAACAGGAGAAGAGGAATTGTAAGCACCAGAAGGCAGATAAAATGATGAGTAAACAGGTGATTGTAATACCGCGAGATACCTGTCACCTATATGTGATTTATTAATATTATATAAACATAAACAGAGGAAGTGTCACTCAACATTCTTTTTTGTCAGGTATCGCCAACACACACACACACACAGGAGGGAAGTGACAGATATTCTTGTTAGCATCTTAGCATCCATACCTACTGTATGTTTTACATATTCTCTTACTCGTCTGTCACACTCACTCTCTCACTCTGTCACACTCACTTTAACTCTCACATACTCTCCCTAACTCTCACACACTCTTTCACTCTCTCACTCTACCATACTCTCACACAAAGTACATTGAAACATAACTGTCACAACCGCCTTTTAACACTGACCTTACATTCACAAAACAGTACAGCATTTAACCAAAGATACGATACTAAGATACACTCCCAGACATAGTCCTTCCCCTTGACTTTAAAACACACGACTTCAACTAAATTTACTCATTAATAGAGTAAATTTTTGTTAGTGCATTTGCAAGAGAACGATTCAATTATGAATATATTTTCCTTGAAGTTATGTTGTCGATTCAGTTTTACGTAAGTTTTGGTGATCTATGATTGGTTGGTAAGGGAGTGGCAGTGGCTCAGGAACTCACTTAGAAACCAGCAGCCAATCAGAGGCTCAGAGTTATGCTGGTAGCTTGGAACGCCGACAGTGGATGAAGTTGTTTGCAACAGATAATATAACATGATAGGAATTTGTTTGTCAATTGCTGTAATATATCCCGTATAAATATTTGTATTGCCAATTCTCTGGGGAAATTTTTTCTAATTATTTGCACCAATGATAATTTTCCACCAATTGTAATGCTCCCGACTATTGTTTTTTGCCTAAAAGAATAGCCCTGCAATGTTTTTCAATATAAATTACAGAAAAATAAAGTTTTATATGAACGTTTTCTTATAATTGTAATAGATTTAGTAATTTATTTATTATTTATTCTGTAATTAGTACCATATGTAGTAACATTTATTTTATCCATGTATTCTAGAATCCATATTGTCACTTATCGGCATTTCTTTTATAATTCGAAATATTTCTTCCTGTAATTACAAAATATCATAAATGCAATTTACAACTTTTTCCTGAACATTTGAAAATTTTCTTTAATTTACTTTTAATATTTTTCTAATTTTCATGATTGCAAAAAAAAACCCCTCTTACATTGTACTTAAAACTGCAATATCTTCCATACAACATGTGTAATTTGTTATATATTTGCAAAATCTTGACTGTAATTTTCAAGATTTTTAGTATAGTTTGCATTATTGTTTTTATTGTGATTTGCAATATTACCCGTGTGATTTAGAAAGTGTGGTGTCTTCCTCGGTTATTTATTATATTTTATATTATTTATTTTATTAATGTTTTCGCAATTATAAAAATGTTATGTTATGGGAAGATTTTAATTTACCAACAACTTGTATACCTTTATTTGTTTATGTTTGTTTGTTTGTTTAGTTATGTTTACATTTAGTGTTTATTCATGACACTCATCTGATTAGCTAATTCCCCAGCCAGTCAAAACAGTCATAGTATACGGGAAGGCCATTAGTCTCTCGTGCACTGTATATACAGCGACTTGCCTCTAGCTGGTATGATTGATAGTTATCCAACCACACACCATCGTTTCTTGCCGCTGGGTACCTACTGCCTGTGGAAAGGGCAACAAGGTAACGCCTGGCGTTGGTAACGACAGTATTGCCAGTGTGTGTGTGTGTGTGTGTGTGTTCCAGGCTGTTGACACTTACATGAAAACATGAACAGAGAAAAGAACAAATAAATTTGAAAAAAACAACAACAACATGTACTAGTATTTTGAATACATTACTGCACAAAAGAGAGTTGTACTGACAATGACCTACTTGAAAAAAACAGATCACACAAACGAAAAATTTGCTATATTGAAATTTTTTAAATTCGAAGATATTAACACTTACTGCTGTGCCCTCTTTGTTTACAAATCTATCAATCACTTGCTTGACAATATTTACTTCCAGTTCCGGAATAATCAGAGATACAACTTAAGGCACCCAGAGCTACTAAGACCAACACCCATGCGCTCCTCTCAGTCTTAGACCTCCATAAAATATCACGGTGTGAAGGTGTGGAACAACTTACCCCCACCCATCCAAGCAAAGACTAAGCTCCCTTCTTTTAAATCATCTCTAAAAAAATATCTATAGTCGAAGTATTAATATTTCTTGTAACACTTACTATATTTACAGTACCTGCTTTCATTGTACCATCAAATCCGTTTTATCGGAAATTATCATGTAAATTAATAAGTAATTACCATTGCAATAAACATAATTGCCAACTAGACATAATCCTGAAAGCTCTGTCCTCTTGTTCAACCTTATTACTGTACAACCCAGGTTGTACTGCTCCCCCATTATACTTATGTTATTAAATTCCACTCTAATTTATATGTATACAGTATGTGTATGTGTATGTATATATATATATATATATATATATATATATATATATATATATATATATATATATACATATGTGTATATAAGTATATGTATGTGTATATGTATGTATAAATAAATAAATAAAAAATAAAAAATAATAAATAATAAAATAAATAAATATTCAAGTGATAACCGTGGTAACATTATAAGATGTACTTATTACTACCATGCTATTGTACTATTCCAGATGATACTAAATGTTACATAGTACTTCCTTAAGATAAATGTATAGTATATGTCAGGTGCCTAAAAGAGAGCTCAGGTTCTCGACTGGCTCAGCCATGTTGATATTGTTATTATTATCCACTCTGTATCTATATTTTTCTGGCTAAATATACTGTTTCAATTCAATTCAATTCAATTCCTAAGCATACTATATATATATATATATATATATATATATATATATATATATATATATATATATATATATATATATATATATATATAATCAACGACCTCACCAGCAAGGAATCGAACCCTGGTGAGGTCGTTGATTATATGTTCAAAGTCCGCGTGTTATGTGGACTAAAATGAAAATATATATATATATATATATATATATATATATATATATATATATATATATATATATATATATATATATATATATATATATATACTACCACACACACACAAACACGCTCAGCTGGTTTAAGAGGATATAGTTGACACCCATGGTCTCGCCAGGTCTTCAGGGTCGCCGCCCTAGTGTCAGCTCCTCCCTCCCAGCAGCACATCAAGTGGATCACATGGCCCTCACTCTACCGTAACAAGTTCACCCTTCAGCGCCTTCCTCAGACGGTTCCTCCCTAAGAGTATGTTATCACCGGTGGGGACAACATGAGCTGTTACTCTGACATAAGTTGGTATTCTAAGATAACGTGACCCGGTACTCTGAAATAAGATGGTACTCTATGATAACACGACCTGGTACTCTAAGATAATATGACCTGTTACTCTGACATAACATGACCTGGTACTCAGACATAAGCTGGTACTCTAAGATAATATGACCTGGTACTCTAAGATAATATGATCTTATACTGTGATATAACATGACCTGAACTCTGACATAAGCTGGTACTCTAAGAAAACATGACCTGGTACTTTGATATGACATGACCTGGTACTCTCACATGACTTGGTACTCTCACATGACCTGGTACTTTGATATGACATGACTTGGTACTCTCACATGACTTGGTGCTCTCACATGACTTGATACTCTCATATGACCTGGTACTCTGATATGACATGAGTTGGTACTCTCACATTACCTGGTACTCTGACATGACATGACTTGGAACTCTCACATGACTTGGTACTCTCACATGGCTTGATACTCTTACATGACATGATTTGGTACTCTCACATGACCTGGTACTCTCACATGACTTGGTACTCGCACATTACTTGGTACTTTCACATGACCGGGTACTCTGATATGACATGACTTGGTACTTTCAAATGACTTGGTACTCTCACGTGACTTGGTGCTTTCACATGACTGCGTACTCTGATATGACATGACTTGGTACTCTCACATGACCTGGTACTCGCACATGACTTGGTACTCTTACATAACTTGGTACTCTCACATGACTTGGTACTCTGATATGACATGATTTGGTACTCTCACATCACCTGGTACTCTCACACGACTTGGTACTCTCACACGACCTGGTACTCTGATATGACATGACTTGGTACTCTCACACGACTTGGTACTCTCACATGACCTGGTACTCTCACATGACCTGATATTCTCACATGACCTGGTACTCTGATATGACATGACTTGGTACTCTCACATGACTTGGTACTGTCACTTGACCTGGTACTCTCACAGGACATGGTACTCTGATATGACATGACCTGGAACTCTCACATAACCTGGTACTCTCACATGACTTGGTACTCTCACATGACTTGGTACTCTCTCATGATTTGGTACTCTGATATGACATGACTTGGTAATCTCACATGACCTGATACTCTCACATGACCTGGTACTCACTGACACACCTTCACTACACCTCCACCTGTTCTTATGATGATGTGCCCATGATTTTGTTTCCAGGACTCAAAATTTGGTTAGCTTAATCAAGACGGATCACCAAAAAATTTACCCACCTCAGGTTTTTCATCTAAAGAGTAACCAATCTAAAGTGACACCTAACCTAACTTAATTCAACGTAACGCTAGTGTGACGTGCGTAACGTAACGTAACGTAACCTAACCTACCGTAACGTAACCTAATCTAACCTAACCTAACCTAACGCAAATGATTGACAAAAGAGAGAGAGAGAGAGAAAGAGAGAGAGACGCTATCCTAACGACCTAACTTTCAGTGAAAAAATTTTCGACCTGGTTCACGTGACAAAGTTCATTTTACCAGATTGTTTATAGGAATAGGTCCAACACAGCGAGCTAATTGTTCTGGGAGCATAGAAGAAAAAAAACATGTCACACTTGATTCTAGTGGTACAGCGTGACTCAAACATGCGTGGTGTTTCAGCGTAACTCAAACGTGAATGGTGTTTCAGCGCGATTCAAAAGTGCGTGGTTTTTCATATCAACCAACACACTCCAGACAAGGGCACTGGCATGATAGGGATAGATATTTTGTTTTTCTTAAAGCATTTGCAAGTGGGGGTAAGTAAAAGGACTTAAAGGAAGTTGGGAGAGGTGGGAGTTAGGTAAGGGACGCAAGGGAGTTGGGAAGGGGAGGAGGAGGAGGAGGAGGAGGGAACTTGAAGGGAAGGGTTGTGAAAAGGAGGAAGATGGCTGTGGGTGCTGCAGTAGTATGTAGTTTGTCATTCGATTTTTAACAGCATTGCTGGTCGTTGGCTGTGACGTCACGTAAGAGTCATGTTGTCTTGATAAAATGATTCGACATCGTCAGCAAGCGTTGAGGTAGAGTGTTGAGGTCATTACCCGATGATGACGACTCTCTCACACTCAGGAGGAGGAGGAGGAGGAGGAGTTACGGATGAGAGATAGGAGGGAAGCAAGGGAGCCCCCCCTCCCCCCCATGTCGCCGCTTCATCCAGAATGCTACAAGGCGGGGCGTCGAAGTGGGTCTGCCGTTCGCAAAGGTTGGGTCAGTGTGTTGCAGAGACCTGGCTGGCGAAGTTGTCAAGCGCGGGTGTTCCCTCTCTCTGTAGGCGAGACCCATCTAAAAGAGAATTCAGTTCACGTGAACACGAGAACGCTAACGGAGCTTCTGTGTACGGTTCCTTCAGGTGAGTACAAACATCTGGCGAGTGTAGTTAGTCCCCGTGAGACTAGCCAAGAGGTGCGTCTGTAGGAAACTGATGTTCTTTAGATTAATACTGATATCGGACTGACTCTAGCTTGCGTCATTACGTTTGATCGTTGCAAAACGATTGGCGAAGTCCTCTGGTGAGAACTCACAGTGACGATACTGTAGAGTTCTCATCTGTGAGGCCGTGGGAAGGAACGAAGTTGTTTTTTCCATCTTTTTCTTAGTATAGCCGCCTGCGCGTTTACTCAGTCTCCTGTCGCTAGCTGACTGTGGAGGTCTCGACTGTCGGTGGTCCAGTCTTTACACCTTCAGGTATGTGCTGAGACTTTGCCAGTATAACATAGATTGTTTACCTAGCAATAATTAGCATTGTCTTTCCCACATGTTAACAGTTTGGACTTGAAAAATACCTCATAATGAATCTCTCACTCACCTCTCCGGGAACTTTAATAATTATTATTTCACCTGCCGAAGTTTATTATTATCTTAGAAAAAATAACTTATTACCAGGTCTTAAAATCGCAGCAGCCTGCTGACAGAAGACCTAACAATGACGGTGAACTCGAGGTGTGTGACAGGTGAGCATGAGATGTGACAGGTGAACAGGAGGTGTGTGACAGGTGAACATGAGATGTGACAGGTGAACAGGAGGTGTGTGACAGGTGAACATGAGATGTGTGACAGGTGAACACGAGGTATGTGACAGGTGAACATGAGATGTGTGACAGGTGAACAGGAGGTGTGTGACAGGTGAACAGGAGGTTTGTGACAGGTGAACAGGAGGTTTGTGACAGGTGAACAGGAGGTTTGTGACAGGTGAACAGAGGTATGTAACAGGTGAATGAATTAGAAAACATGGTAAGAAGACGTAACCTTGCCGGATATGTTGACCTCAGGCATCTTGCAACATATTCTTTTTAATGTCTAACTTAAACCGGGATGAATTTTAGATATAGAAGTTTATGAAATTTAGAAAACATATCAAGAGTAGATATATTACACTCTACGGGTAGATTATGGACTTAGAAAACATTACAGAATATATACCGTACACCCAGTAGATAGACTCAGTACTTAAGAGTCAACGCGCAGGTAAATCATTAAATGAAAAAAGACACCAAAGACCCAATTTCACCTTCACCTGAGACAATACCTAAACTACTTCGTGTTTTTTCAAGACTTTAGGCCCATCAAGTTAATTGATGATCTTCAAGAAATCATTCAAAGTCAAAATTATATAATATTTTTGAAGTTATTGACTTTCTGTCTAGTTAGAAGCTCATCGGGTTAGTGTAGTCCTCTCACCTGATTACAGTTCTCTCAAGACATTCACCAACTTTCAGGTGCGTGGGAAGGTGTTCTGTTCTGAATGTGATAATTTGGAGTGTTCAGTTTGCGAGTTTCAGTTCAGGGGTGAGATTTTCAGATGGTAGCTTTATTATTATTATTATTATTATTATTATTATTAATATTATTATTATTATTATTATTATTATTATTATTATTATTATTATTATTATTATTATTATTATTATTATTATTATTATTATTATTATTATTATTATTATTATTATTAAGCAAAATAATCAACAAATGTCATTGATCTTATTTTTCATTTATTTAATTTCCCATTTTTCTTTTCTTACCGACACAGACAAGCTTGTAGATACCTACGTAGGCAGAGATAAACCTGTCACTTTGTCAAATAACCGACACAAACACACATCCACATTTCATATGCACGTTTATAGAGTACATATTACTGTAGTGTAAACAGAGAGAGAGAGCGAGAGAGAGAGAGAGAGAGAGAGAGAGAGAGAGAGAGAGAGAGAGAGAGAGAGAGAGTTATTCTTTATGTTTTCCTGAACTACTTACTGCCTTTGGTACAAAATATAGACTTCAGTGATGAAACAAAGTGATACGCAGTAGTGATAGTAGTCACGTTACCTCAACACTGACGACATACATCAACTCTATCCCTAATTATGATGTCACACAGTAAGCTCCATCTTAGGTTAATAACGTCATTCATTAGACTATCTCCGTATTTAACATCACACAAGTGGCTCTACCTTACACGAATGACGTCACATACACTTAGTTCCACCAGTTATATGACGCCAGATATTTAGCTCCACCCCTCGCATTTTACGTCACACGTTTGACTCCACCCCCCTGCAAGTCTGACGTCACACAGTTTGGTCCACCTTTGTATTTGACGTCACATAGTTAACGCCACCCACCCAACATTAAGACGCCTCCCCCCCCGACATTACCTGACTTTCATGCGTGACAAACAATTATTATCATTACTGAATTAAAGGAAAAACCTCTTAATGTGTTAAAGGAGAGATAGTCAGTTAGTGAGATCATAAATTACTTTGATGGAGGTTTATCTCTCACCTGTGTCTCAGTGTCTGGTCTTTTTGTCGGTTTATCTCAGTCTCTCTCAGTGTATCTCATTTCTCTCTCTCTCTGTCTCAGCTTATTTCTCCTTTCTCCCTCAGTGTATCTCGTCTTTCTCCTTCACTCAGTGTCTGTTATCTCTCTTTCTCAGTGTATCTCTCACCTGTCTCTCTTAACATCATTGAGCAGAGAGAGAAAGAGAGAGAGAGAGAGAGAGAGAGAGAGAGAGAGAGAGAGAGAGAGAGAGAGAGAGAGAGGAAAAAAAAATAGTAAAGGGAAAGGTTGTTGAGAGAAAGAAAATGATTGGAAATAGTAGGAAGAATAGAAGAGGAGGAAGATGAATAAAATGAGAAGCAGAAGGAGGAGGAGGAGGAGGAGGAGGAGGAGGAGGAAATAACCGAAATACAACCAGGAAATAACCGAACACAGGAACACAAAACAGGAAACAAGCACATTAACCGAACATTGGAACATTAAACAATAAACAAGAACACTATCCGAACATAAGAAACACAGACACTTAACAGGACACACGGACGGACACACACACTTTAACAAGACACTCAGACACTTAACAGGACACACGACAGTTAACAGGACACACGGAACACACACAAACCTTAACAGGACACAACAACACTTAACAGACACACACTTAACAGGACACACGGACAGTAACAGGAGGACACACGAACAGGACAGGAACACTAACAGGACACTAACAGGACACACTTAACAGGACACACACGAACACTAAGAAGACACACGAACACTTACCAGGACACACAGAACACTTAACAGGACACACGACACTTAACAGGACACACGGACATTAACAGGACACACAAACACTTAACAGGACACACGGACACTAAACAGGACACACGGACATAACAGGACACACAACATAACAGGGCACACGCAAACTTAACAGGACACATTCACACAAGACATTTAACAGGACACACACGACATAACAGGACACACGGACACTTAACAGGACACACGGACATAACAGGACACTGAACACTTAACAGGGCACGGACACTTAACAGGACACACGAACACTTAACAGGACACACACGAACACTTAGAAAGACACACGAACACTTACCAGGACACACGGACACTTAACAGGACCCACGAACACTTAACAGGACAAACAAGACACTTAACAGGACACACGACACTTAACATAACCAGGACACACAGCCAAACTTAACATGACACACGAACACTTACACCAGGACACACAGACCCTTGACAGGACTACACACGAACACTTAAGGAAGACGCCAGACACTTAACAGGACACACGGACATAACAGGACACGGACACTTAACCAGAACACGAACACTTAAGAAGACACACGAACACTTAACAGGACACACGGACCTTAACAGGACACTGGCGGACACTTAACAGGAAACACAGAAACACTTAAGAAGACACACAGAACACTTAACAGGACACACGGACACTTAACAGGACACAGAAACACGAACACTCAGGAACATAACAGGACACAAGACATATTTCTGGACACTCGAACACTTAACAGGACACTCAGACATAACAGGGACACACGAACACTCCCAATAACAGGACACACGGACACTTAACAGGACACACAGACACTTAACACTTAACAGGACACACAGACATAACAGGACACACAGACATGACAGGACACACACGACACTTAAGAAGACTGCTCAGACATAATAGGACTCACGGACGCCCAACAGGACACACACAGACACTTAGAAGACACTCAACACTTAACAAGATAAACGGACATAACAGGACACACGAACACTTAAGAGGACACACAGACCCTAAACAGGACACACGGACACTTAACAGGACACACACTTAACACTTAACACGACACACAACATAACTGACACTTAACAGGACACAGGGACACTTAACAGGACACACGGACACTTTGAATATGATTATTTCGACACTTAACAGGACACTCGAACACTTAACAGGACACACGAACACACACGAACACTTAACAGGAACGAACACTTAACATAACAGGACACACAGAACACTTAACAGGACACACAGACCCTTGACAGGACACACACGAACACTTAAGAACATCAGACACTTAACAGGACTCACGGACACTTAACAGGACACACACGAACACTTAAGAGACACTCCTCGAACACTTAACAGGACAAACGGACATAACTTAACAGGACACACGAACTTAACAGGACACACAGAGGACACACAGACCCTAAACAGGACATAGGACACCTAAACATAACAGGACCACGGACCCTTAACAGGACACACACTTATGAGGACACACGAACATAACACGACACACGAACACTTAACAGGACACTTAACAGGAGGACACACAGGACACACGGACACTTAACAGGACACCTGAACAGGACACACGGACGGACACTTGAACACTTAAGGACACACGAACACTTAACAGGACACACGGACACTTAACAGGACACACGAACACAGGACAATAATGGACACCTAACAGGACACACGGGACACACGAACCCTTACAGGACACACGAACACTTAAACACACTTAACAGGACACTTAAGGACACACACGAACACACTCAGACACTTAACAGGACACACAGACACTTAACAGGACACACACACAAGAGGACACACGAACACTTAAGAGGACACACGAGCATAACACTTTACAGGACACACAGAAACCTTAACAGGACACACAGACATAACAGGAACCAGGGACACTTTAACAGGTCACTGGACCTTGTGGACACACGAACACTTAACAGGACACACGGACACTTAACAGGACACACGAACACTTAACACTTTACAGGACACACGAACACTTAACAGGACACTCCAGACACTTAACAGGACACACGAACACTTAACAGGACACACGGACACTTAACAGGACACACGGACACTTAACAGGACACACGAACAGGACACACAGACACTTACACTTTGGACACACGAACACTTTACAGGACACACAGACACTTAACAGGACACACAGACAACAGGACACACGAACACTTAACAGGACACATAACACTTAACAGGACACACAGACATAACAGGACACACGAACATTAACACTTTACAGGACACACGAACCCTTAACAGGACACACGGAACACTTAACAGGACACACGAACACTTAACACTTTACAGGACACACAGACCCTTAACAGGACACACAGACCCTTAACAGGACACACGAACACTTAACAGGACACATGAACCCTTAACAGGACACACGAACAGACACACACGAACCCTTAACAGGACACACACCCTAACAGGACACACAGACACTTAACAGGACACAGAACATAACAGGACACATGAAGAACATTACACGAACACTAACAGGACACACGGACACTTAAGAAGACATAAGAACATTAACAGGACACACGGACACTTACAGAACACACGAACATAGAACACTCGAACACTTAACAGGACACACGGACAATTACAGGACACACGAACACTTAACAGGACACACAACCCTTGACGGACACACTTAAGAAGACACTTAACAGGACACACGGACAACAACAGGACACACGAACACTTAACACTCTGAACACTTAATAGACACACGGACACTAATTTAACAGGACACTCGAACAATATGACACACGGACACTTAACAGGACACACACGGACATCTTAACAGGGAACACTTAAGAACACACACACACAGAACACTTAACAGGACACACGGACACTTGAGAGGACAATAATGAACACTTTAACACCTTTACAGGAGACACGAAACCTTAACAGGACACACGAACACTTAACAGGAACCAGGGACACTTAACAGGTCACATGGACACTTCAACAGGACACTTAACACTTTGGACTATGACACAACCTTTAACAGGACACACACACTTAACAGGACACACGAACACTTAACAGGACACACGGACACAGGACACACTCCACTTAACAGGACACACGAACACTTAACAGGACACACGAACACACACACTTTACAGGATTAACACGGACACTTAACAGGACACACGACACTTAACAGGACACACGGACCCTTGAACAACAGGACACACGAACACTTAACAGGACACACGAACAATAACAACAGGACACACGGACACACTTAACCCCAACAGACACACTTAACAGACACATGAACCCCTTAACAGGACACACTTAACAGGACACACGAACAGGACACGAACAGGACACACGAACACTAACAGGACACACGGACACAGGACACACCAGAGCACTAAGAAGACACACGAACTTAACAGGACACACGGACACACGACACTTAACAGGAACACGGACATTTAACAGGACACACGGACACTTAAATAGGACACACGGACACTTAACAAGACACTTGACACTTAAGAGGACAATAACACTGAACACTTACAGACACAGAAACCTTAACAGGACACACGGCAGGACACACTTAAGAGGGACACAACAAGAAACACGAACACTTAACAGGACACACGGACAACAGGACACAAACATAACACTTTACCAGGACACACGAACATAACAGGACACACGAACACTTAACAGGACACACGGACATAACAGACACTTAACAGGACACACGGACACACGAACACTTAACACTTAACACACACGGACACAGGACACACGAACACTTAACAAGGACACACGAACACTTAACCGGGACACGCAGACAACAGGACACACGAACACTTAACAGGACACACAGACACTTTAGGTTACACAGCAGACCACTTAACAGGACACGAACATAACAGGACATAACACTTTACAGGACACACAGACCCTTAACAGGACACACAGACCCTTATAACAGGACACATAGACCATAACTGACACACAGACACTTAACAGGACACACAGACCCTTAACAGGACACACAGACCATTAACAGGACATAGACCCAAAGGACACTTAACAGGACACACACACTTAAGGACAAAAGAACACTTAACAGGACACCCAATTTAACAGGACACACGGACATAACAGGACACGGACCTTAAAACAGGACGCCCAGGGGCACGGACATTTAACAGGACACACAACATAACACTTAACAGGACGGACACTTAACAGGACACACGGACGGACACACGAACACTTAAGAGGACACACGGACATAAAGAGGACACACACACGGACACTTAACAGGACACACGGACACTTAACAGGACACTACGAAGACATAACGGGACACACGGACATAACAGGACACACGACACTTAAGGACACACGGACCTTAACAGGACACACGGACACTTAAGAGGACACACAGGACACACGGACACGGGACATAGACACTTAACAGGACACCCAAACACTTAACAGGACACCCAAACACTAACAGGACACACGGACAAACACTTAACAGGACACACGGACAACAGGACACGGACATAACAGGACACACACAATGGACACTTAACAGGACACAACAGGACACACGGACATAAGGACACTTAACAGGACACACGGACACTTAACAGGACACACGGAACAAGAGGACACACGGACATAACAGGACACACGGGACACCAAAAAGACACTTAACAGGACACACGGACACTTAACAGGACACACGGACACTTAACAGGACACTTAACAGGACACACGACACTTAACAGGACACACGAACACTAACACTTAACAGGACACACGACCAGAACACTTAACAGGACACACGGACACACGGACATAACAGGACACACAAGACACTTAACACTTAACAGGACACACATAACAGACACACCGGAGCCGCTTGACAGGACACACACGAACACTTATGAAGACACTCGAACACTTAACAGGACACACGGACACTTAACAGGACACACTTGACACACACACATAACAGGACACTCAGACATAACAGGACACACGGACATGACAGGACACATTAATAATGAACACTTAAGACATTAACAGGACACTCAGACACTTGACAGGACACACGGACATAACAGGACACACAGAACCCTTAACAGGACACACGGACTCTTAACAGGACACACGAACACTTAACAGGACACACGACCCCTTAACAGGACACACGAACACTTTAGAAGGCACACGAACACTTAACAGGACACACGGACACTTAAGAAGACACACGAACACTTAACAGGACACACGGGCACTTAACAGGACACACGAACACTTAACAAGACACACGGACACTTAACAGGCCACACGAACACTTAACAGGACACACGGACACTTAACAGGACACACGGACACTTAACAGGATACACGGACACTTAACAGGACACACGGACATTTAACAGCTTTCATGGGAGACTAACCGGAAACACAAAGACAGTTTACGTTTCCGGTTCAGCGGCGAGAAACACGTGAAGTAACGCAATCGGATACATCCTCCCGTCGGAACCTGCACTGTAATTTACTGATTGAGAGATAATTTATGTCCAGTAATGTCAACGTTTAGTAATCCTAGACGAGCGTGACGGGGTGGATGATGTACTGTAATACACGAGCCCGACAGATGAGATGAGCTTCAGGTGTCGGATTCGTTGTGATTTTACTGGTTGATTAGGTATAAGGTCCACGGCGAGAATGTGAGAGGCAGTGGGGTAAGAGAGAGAGAGAAAGAGAGAGAGAGAGAAAGAGAGAGAGAGAGAGAGAGAGAGAGAGAGAGAGAGAGAGAGAGAGTTGAGAGAGAGAGAGAGCTTAGTTGTCCATTTACCGGACATTAAGCACAGCCTTTGCCAAATTATCAAGTGTAGTCAGCCTATCCTCATTCCTTCATTACAGATCCCCCTCACCACCATGGACACCCTGACGGAGACCTTCCTCTTCGTTATCGTTCTCCTGACGCTGACGACTAGCACATCGTCCAAGACCATCGACGGCGACCCACAGTCACTTTCGGCCCCTGAACCTAAACAGGAAGGGCAGCTGGCAGGTCTCTTGAGGAATATTATGAGCGGCTCAGAAAGTGAACATGCAATTGGTTTTCTTACAAAATTTCTTGGTAGCTCAGAAAATGAATATCATATGGAGTTTATTAAAGGTCTTTTGAATAATTCAGATAACGGGCAACCGATGAATCTTCTGAAAAGTCTTTTTGAAACGTTGGGTTCAGATGCAGTCGGTGTGGGAGGTGTTGGCTCTCTCCTCTTACCATCACTTCTACAACAGCTGCTAATAGACGAGAAGTTGACGACTGCGATATCAGACAGTCTGGGAGTGAAGGAAGACTTCATGAAGCCTTTGGTCAGGATCATCAAGGAGATGAATAAGCTAAGCGCTAGGCAGACGTCGAGTTCTAAGAAAACTAGTTTTAATGGTAAGATTTCTAAGACTTCCAACGATGCCGTTAACATAATTGACAACACGATTGAAGACCCTCAGCCGGCAGAGGATGACATCAAAGTTGCTCAACCTCTTATAAACGAACAGTTCCTGGAGCTGGCTAAAGATATCTTTGAAGAGGAATTTGGCAGCTTAGGTTCCCTTCTCATTTCCTCGAACACGGAGAATCCAGATAGTATATTGGCAGATTTCAACGCTACCTCCTCCAGCGTGTGGATGATGATCAAGTCCACGTGGCAGCGGATTTTGGCTTACGTCGAAGAAGAGAACTCCTTGACGTACTTCATGCAGCTGACACCAGTGAGGATCGCTGACCGAATTCTGAGTCTCGGCGATGACGTCAACCTCATGAACTTCTTAGCGAAGAAATTGGATCCACAATTCGCCATGTTTCTGGCGACTGAGATCGACCCGTACCTCGGTCCTCTGAGAGATTATAATAGCTTCTACAATTTCACGAAAGACTACGGCCTCAACGGCGTCTTGGACTACTTTAGGTCAGATAGCTTTACCTTCACGATGAACACATTATCACGTCTCGTCCAAGCTTACCTAGAGAATAAGATTTCCGGTGACCTCGTAAACCAGTACATTGAATTTATTTCTTTCAATAATACAGAACTTCATAATTTCTACAAGTCTTTCATGAAAACCCAAAATCAAAACTTCACGACGGACGAGGCCGGCAGTACGCAGCGCTTCAAGAGGAACGTGTTGGAGCACATCGCCAGCAGCTTTAAATTTGGCGACCTCATGTTCGAGGAACCCGAGCCACAGCCTGACGAGTTCCAGTCGAAAACTTTAGATGTCGATGACCACCAGTCAGCAGACTCTGAAGAGTATAATGATAGGGAAGACCTAGATGATGACAAGCAAATTTTGTCTCGAGACGGAGGCTACAACGGCTACGGGGATTACAACAGCTATGATGTCGCCTCCTACAAGAGCTCTGGCTACGGCGGCGGTGGAGGCTACGGTGGCGGTGGTAGCGGCGGCGGCAGCTATGGTGTAGGCTACATGAGCACACTGGACCCATATGTAGTGCTGGGAGCGCTGGCACTAGGCACCCTCCTGGGCTTCTTACTTTTCCGACTCATCAACGGGACGAGGAACGGGAGGCGAGACATCGGGGACGGGTCTCTGTCACTCTGGCTCTCTGACTTGCCTGACAAAGTCTTACCCTGGGGCACCAGCGTCGAGCGCATGAAGCGAGACGCCCACAACTTCAACAAGACGGGGGAGGAGGAGTTCTCCCTGCCAGACTCACTACGGGGCGACGTCTGGTCTTCTGATCCTCTGGTCGGCGACAATCTTCTGGCCGACGAACTTGAGGAAGACGACATCGCGGACCAGCTGAACCACCTGTGGAGGGTGTTCCAGGAAACGAGTTCACCTGCCTGTGTACACTCTCACCTGTGTGGTGTTGTGGCCAACAGCACAGCCGAGCAACTCACTGGGAGGGACTCCAGTATGGCCCTGCTCATGTGAGTAATGACTCTGTGTGTTGCTGATACTAAACTGTATCACATGATTTCACAGTCACTTGGCTGTGACTGGTTAATTGTAAATTATCTAGGTGAATAACCATGAATGTATGAATTAACAAAGATAACGTAGTAAATAAAAAACGAAATGAATAAGTATACAGTTACACGCAGTACATGATAAGTAAATAATGAATAAATGCACAAATAAGTAAATTACACAAGCTTATAGCATATCTGATTCATACCACTACTACTACTACTACAACTACTACTACTACTACTTTTATTTTTAACGTGGCCTCCAGCCTCCCCCAATAGCCACACCTTCGCCTCCATTTTATTACCTTAATATTAAATATCCTAATACATAAGTAGCTACCCTATCTGTGTTGAGTTAGTTGAGCCCCCGGCTACTACTAATACTACTTTTTTTCTTTTTTTTTTTTCAAAAGGCCTCCAGCCTCCCCCAATAACGACACCTTCGCCGCCATTTTATTACCTTAAAATTAACTATCCCAATACATAAGTAGGTACCCTGGCTGTGTTGAGTTAATACTACTACTACTACTAGTACTACTACTACTACTACTACTACCACTACTACAATGGCCTTCAGCCTTCCCCAATAGCCACACCTTCGCCGCCATTTTATTACCTTAAAATTAACTACTACAACAATTACTACTACAATTACTACTACTACTGCTACTACTACAACCACTACTACTACATTACCGTAGTCACACTGACCTAGTTAATTTTAATTAATAGATTTACTTGTCTTTACAAAGTCACTTCCTTAGATTCTATGTAGTTATCATATAATTAACTTTTCCTGCATAGTTATCAGGTATTATTTTACTAATTAACATTTATCTTTAGTGCTTTCTTTTCACTTTATCTACTCTCTCTTTTAAGCTTTAATCAATACGTCATCAAAATTATTGTGTTAAATTTTATAACGTTATCATATATTATGACGTCATCAAGTATTGTACCGTCGTGAAATATTGAGACGTTATCAAGTATTGTGACGTCATCAAGAATATTGTGACGTCATCAAGAATATTGTGACGTCATCAAGAATATTGTGATGTCGTCATTTATTATTCTTTTCCCACAGGGCGTCAATCAGCAACATGATGGGTGTGATCAGGTCGGGTCAGTTGGTGGACCACGTGACCAACACATTGGTGGTGGGTAACCCTTACACCTGCCCGAGTCCCACTGGCTGTCACCACTTGCTGTAGCTGACACCACTAGCTACTACCACCACTTGTAGCTGGTAACACTATCTACCACCATGACCTACCACTATCACTACTTATTGGAGCTGACAACACTAGCTACTACCATCACTTTTAGCTGATAACACTATCTACCACCACTACCTACCACTATCACCACTTGTTGGAGCTGACAACACTAATTACCACCCCAACAGCTATCACCATTCTCTTATTACCACCATCACCTATCATTACCACCTGTTGAATTTGGCAGTACTAATTTTCACCACTATTTGCTGTAACTAGCTATTACCATCAATAATTGTAGTTACCATTATTATCTGCCACTACTTGCTGTTGTTTACATTACTAGTTACCACTAACACTTATAGGTACCACCATAACCTACTGATATTGTCACCACTAACCACCACCACTACCTGCTGGGGCCACCACCATCACCACCACTACCCGCTGGGGCCACCACCATCACCACCACCACTACCCGCTGGGGCCACCACCATCACCACCACCACTACCCGCTGGGGCCACCACCATCACCACAACTTACTGTTACTACCACCACCTACTACAGCTACCACCACCAACCATGTATTAGACGTACACTTGTTGAGAAACATTGAGGGTGTCAGGAAGAAGAAGAAGAAGAAAAGGTAATGAAAATGACGAAAGCGATGAAGAAGATAAAGAAGAAGCAAAAATAATAATAATAATAAGAAGAAATTTTAAAATATAAATAACTAAAATAGAAGATAATAAAAAATAAATAAACGATAATGATAATGACAAACAATAATAAAAAACGATAAAAATAGCGTATAAGAAAAAAAAGCCTTACAGAAACAACTTTAAGTCATAATAAAAAATAAATATAATCATCACTAACATTATAAGTCTCACAGAACATTATCAACAAAGTATTATTAGTAGTTATATAGCAATAGTTTTAAGTACTCAGTCCCACCTTCCTCTCCTTTGTCCAGATTATAATGTTACTTTGGGCAACGTAGGTGACTGTAACTAATAGAACTTGATCAAATTTCCCTGACAGTAGGAGAAATTGTATCATGTTTCCTTAGTGATTAAAAAGTGTGTGTGTGTGTGTGTGTGTGTGTGTGTGTGTGTGTGTGTGTGTGGTGTAGGACACTTTACTAATGTGGGATTTTCTTGACTTATTGGTTTTCTTCAGTGGGTCTTATTACTATTTATAAGTATATATAACTTGTAGTAAATAAATTATATTATGTTACCATGTCTCTTTTACTTCCTCGGTCTTATTTAATTTATTTTTACTCATTTTACACATTTACCGATTTACACATTCACACATTTATACATTTACACATTTTGCACATTTAAACATTTACACATTTTACACAGTTTACACATTTATACATTTTTACACATGAAATATGTGTTCCAGGAATTGAGTCATCAGTATAATACATATTCTTTCCTCGCATAACTTAATGTGATGTAATGAGCTAAATATTGGTTGAAACTCAGTCATTCAATAAAATAATTTGTACTCTACTCCTAAAGCTGTATTTTGTTGAGGCCAAAAAGCAAGTAACAGACCCATGAAGGAAGAACACAACGCCCAAAGTAAGAGGGTTAATGTGAATGACAATCTTAACTAATTAAAAACTTTTTTTGAGATCGTTATGCATACACACACACACACACACACACACAGAGGGTGTATACATACTGTATAAGTCCTCACCACAGACAGAAAGATAAGCACACACACACACACATACACACCATCTGTGAGGGAACTACTACACCACATGAGGTCCCTCCTAAGACCATCTGGGAGGGAGTTACTACGTGTTTGCTGTTCAACACCTACATTAATCTGTATGTTCACTGTATGTTCCTTTACCTTTCTCTAATGAAGTCTTTTGTTAAACCACCAATGTGTGTAATAAGTCATTTATGTCCAATGTATATTTTCAGCCTTCGGGCTGCAGAACTTTTTCAATAAACCGTTAATTATTATTATTCTTATTACGCAAACACACACATACACAGGGTGTATACACTGTAAAACTCCTCACCACAAACAGAAAACACACACTCAAACACGCACACACACACACACAACACACACACACACACACACACACAACACACACACACACACACACACACACACACGTAGACAAAAGCCGTACAAAATTAAGTCAATACGGAACTGATTCCGGCATCCTCAAGGTGTGGTACAGAGTGTTCAGTCTCCTCACATACGAGACACGTAACCCAGTTCGGTGTTGTTTACACTTTTCTTTGTTGATCTTTAACTGTCATTAGTGGCGGATTATCTTGTTAGAGGAAAATTTTCATCAATTCTCGCCACTTGTGTTTTTAATAGTTTGATGGACTATTTCTGCTTTAGGAAGAATATTGATAAGTTTCCTTCTGTTTTAGAAATCTTGATGATGTCAAATATATTGAAAAGAGTTAATATTACAAATGCTTTGAAACACTGTAAGAACGCTAACAGTACAAGCTTTATTATTGTCTTTCGACTGAACGAAAGATAAAGCCATGCAACGGTGAACATCGGTGCTAAAACGCCAAATACTAGAGACAACAAAAGTTGTAATTGTTTTGGAGTTGTTTATAACTTCAAAGCAATATAATAATGGTCTGGACAAAGATGCGAACATATCTGATCATCAGGGAGACAACTGAAAAATTCAGACGATTGTTTGTCGTCAGGGAGGGAAAATTGCAGAAAAATAATTTGGTAGTGTAACGGACTGCAAGAGGTGAGCCGGCGTGGACCTAAACACTCACACACTTCTCCCCCAGGCGTCCAGCACGCTGCTCACGCCTCACAGTCGTTCCTCAGGACTCTCACTAGCTGCCGGGTATCTGGCCGTTTCCTCGAGCTCATAGGTAAGTCCTATCGTTACTGTTTAATTGATTATGACGTCACTAACTCCGAATTCCCTAAGGTGGTCCATCACGCGTTTCCAGTGGTTCAGGGGCCTTTGTTGTTCCTTGATCATTAAAGTTGGATAATGACACTGTGTTCATTGACGTTCCCCGTAGTATGTCCTGAAACCCTTGACTACATCCTCGTCCCCTTCAAAATGTCTCTCGGGTTCTTCACTGTCTACTGGGGCCTTTCATGTTACCTGACGTAAATAGATGGGTCCTCGGTGCCCTTATTTAGTCCCGCACATGCAATCATCAGGGTCTTAACGCCCCTAGGTAGGTCCTGACGTGCCTAGCTTAGTTCAAACGATCTTCGCTTGTAGTCGTTCCTCAGGGCCCTTCTTACTTGCTGGATCTCCCTCTGGTTTCTAGATATTCCACAGCGGGTCTTAACATATAGTGAAGGCTGAGGATTATGTCTGCAGGTGACAGTGAAGATCGGTGATTGATTTTGCAGTTAAGAGCGAAAATTATGAATTAGTTGAGCTGCTGACAGTCAATATTAGTGATTGGTTATACTGCTAACAATGAAGGTAAGTGATTATTGTTTTTTTAAGGGGAATAACCCATTGGGCACGGATCATCAACCCACAATGGGGCCTGGGGGCTGCTGGCAATGAAGATTATGTGATTAGTTGCTGATAGTGAAGAGGAGTGATTAGTTCTCCTGTTGACATTGATAATTAATCAGTGGTTCTCCAGCTGATATTGAAATATAATGACTCTCCCTGCTGACGGTAAGAACTAGTAACTGGCTAATGGCTGACAGTAAGGATTAGGACTAGTAACTGGCTCTCTGCTGGCGTTAAGAACTAATAACTGTCTCCCTGCTGACAGTAAGGACTAATAATTGTCTCCCTCATGACGGTAAAGGTTAGTAACTGTCTCCTGCTGAAGATGTGAGTAACTGTCTCCCTGCTGATGGTAAAGGTTAGTAACTGTCTCTCTACTGACGGTAAAGATTAGTAACTGTCTCCCTGCTGATGGTAAAGGTTAGTAACTGTCTCTCTACTGACGGTAAAGACCAGTAACTGTCTCCCTGCTAACGGTAAGGGTTAGTAACTGTCTCTCTACTGACGTTAAAGACTAGTAACTGTCTCCCTACTGATGGTAAAGGTTAGTAACTGTCTCTCTACTGACGGTAAAGACCAGTAACTGTCTCCCTGCTGACGGTAAAGGTTAATAACTGTCTCCCTGCTGATGGTAAAGGTTAGTAACTGTATCTCTACTGACGGTAAAGACCAGTAACTGTCTCCCTGCTGACGGTAAAGGTTAATAACTGTCTCCCTGCTGACGGTAAAGGTTAGTAACTGTCTCTCTACTGACGTTAAAGACTAGTAACTGTCTCCCTGCTGACGGTAAAGACTAGTGAATGATGACCAACGGTACACCTACAGTAAGTACTCCACCAGGTGTTATTGACATTTTACCTGTGTATATTGAAACAGCGAGAGCCAGTAGGTGCTTCGTCCCTACTCCAAATCCAGATGAGAGAGAGAGAGAGAGAGAGAGAGAGAGAGAGAGAGGGGGGGGGATCGACAGGAGCATAGACGATAGATCGACAGGAGCACAGACGATAGATAGACAGGAGTGAAGACGATGGATAGACAGGAGTGAATACGATGGATAGTCATGAGTAAATACGATATGTAGACAGTCGTAAAAACGATAGATAGACAGAAGTATAGAGGATAGATAGACAGAAACAAAGACGATAGGTAGACAGGAGTATAGACGATATATAGACAGGTGTATAGAAGATAGATTCACAGGAACAAAGACAATAGATAGACAGGAGTATAGCCGATGGATAGACAGAAGTACAGACGATAGACAGAAGTATAAAAGGGTTTATAGACAAATATAAACGGTAGATAGACATGAGTAAAGGCAATAGATAGACAGGAACAAAGACGATAGATAGACAGGAGTATAGAATTTGTGTACAGCTGTGAGGTTCAGTAGTTGTCGTTATATAACTGTGTCTGGGATAATCACACGGGTGAGAGTTTACTCAGCTGTTTCCTCACTCATTAAGAAGCTTGTGTCTTTGAACACTACAAAAGGTAAACAGTGTGTGTTTGAGAGAGAGAGAGAGAGAGAGAGAGAGAGAGAGAGACTCACAAACCATACCCTTACAGATGATGGTCCGTGTGTGGGTCGCTGGGGTATTGATCCTGATGGTGGGGAGGCAGACCTCGTCCTCTGACCCCATTGGGAAGGTCACCCTCCACCTGCTCCACCTACTACCTACCCAAAAGGCCCACCTGTCAGGCGGCTTCAGTGGCAGGGAGGTTAACGGAGGAGTAGAAGGGGGCCTACCTGACTCATTTGCTCTCACTGCCAACACCAACATCAACAGCAGCAGTACCTCATACACCCACCACACACCTACTTCTCCCATCCACTACCCTAAAACTTACTCAGACCATCCCTCTACCCAACCAGTCGTCCCTCTCCTCAACGACAACACAAACAGCTCAGAAAACAGAGTCTTAGGAAGCTTGTTTGAGCTCGGTGTGAGCCATCTTGAGAGACAAGGCATCAAGGTTAAGGAAGATGTTGTTTCCCGAAGTGACACGGTGACGAGACTGAACGACACGTCATCTCTTTACCCAGAGTCTCGAGAAGGTTCTCTCTCTGATCCTGGTGTCGACATTGAGGACAAGTTACCCCTACTTCAGTTCCTGGACGGACTCAGAATGGACGCCTGGGCACAGCTCAAGACGATGGCCTTAACCTACATCGAACTGCTAGATCAAGAGTACAAAACCCAGAAGGTGACGCAGAAGTTACCTTTAGATCTTATCAAGAAGGTACTCGAGCTCGGAGACAGAGTCAACTTTCTCCACATCGTCGGGAAAAAAGTCGACCCGGGGCTCGTGGAGTTCCTAGTCAGTCATCTGAGGCCAATTTGGAGCCAGTTTGAGAGATTCACTACCAGGAATAATCCTGAAGGCAGTGGGTCCCCAACCTTCAGAGACATCGTGAGAGGCGCGGCGCTCAAGACACTGCACCAGTTCGTGGGTCATGTACTAAGGGTTACAGGAAACTACTTCACCAGTGATGAACTCGACAACTACAAGAACGAATTGGTTTCCATCGTCCCCATAGCGGCGGAGGGACTCGATTTGATAATGAACGGTGTATCTAAGTCCCCGGGATATGTAGAAGGTCGGTCTATGGTACAGAGACAAGGCTACGGGTATGGTGGCTACTCCCAGGGCTACGGCGGGTATGGTGGCGATGGTGAGATAAGCTATGGTGGCTATGGTGCCCACGATGATTATGGGACGTCAGGCTATGGTTATGGGGTATACCTGGACCCCTACCTTGTGCTAGGTAGCATCGGGGCGGCGGCACTTCTCTGTTTCCTGGCTTACAAGGTCATCATGACAAAATCCACGACGATGACCCTACGGCGACGTAGTAACGAGGAATACCTGTCTTTCTTGGATTCCTCTGATGTACCCGAAGTCGTCCACTCCATTTACAGTATGCTGGAGGGAGCCAACGACAAGTACAGATCCAGGAGGTCCTTGTCCTCACACCTGGACTTCACAGACGACTTAGCCCAGAGTCTCAACTCTCTGTGGTGGGAACACGAGCATCACTACGGCTGCGTAAGGTGTTTACTCTTCAACTACACCGTTGAACGTAACCACACAGAAGACAACCGCCTTCAACGGCTCACTGTGTAAGGTTCCTTTGTTTTGATTTTTACTTTATTGTCATTATTCTTGATATCACTACATAACTATCGGGATTATACATCTACACACACACACATTATATATATATATATATATATATATATATATATATATATATATATATATATATATATATATATATATATATATATATATATATATATATATATATATATATATAATGTGTGTGTGTGTGTGAGTTTATTTAGCCGTCGGATCTTTAAATTACTCCAAAACGATTTTGTGTATCTAACTATGTGTTCTGTCATCTCAGGGCAGGGATGGCGCATCTGCTGGGAGCTGACAGGTCAGGTCAGCTGGTGGACGAGGTCACTAATCTCACGCTGGAAGGCAGACCAGTTATTTGTGAACAGGTGTCCAACACCTGTAACCTGAAGTGAGCTGTCGTGTCACATCCGTGCTGTACCAATCAGCTGACTACCTGCCGTCTGAACACCTGTCGTACATATCAGCTGATTAACTGTCGTCTGAACACCTGTCGTACCTCATGTCACTTCTTCTTGCACAGTTGATGTAATTTAAAACCTATACAGTATATCCTCACAACTAGCGTCTCCTCTCACAGCTAGTCTCACTCACCGATAAAACCTCTCATTGTGAACATCTCTCTCAGATGATACCTTGAACTGTTTGTGACCCATATTATTGTTGTTATCGTGTGTTTAGGATATCTGTTTATGTGTATAATGTGTGTGTGTGTGTAATTATATGACTATTCATTAGTATGAATTAGTTTGTCAGGAAACTGAAACCTTTTAGTCCTGGTTATATTGAAGAGATGAATGATATCTATTTTAATTACTAGTCCTGTAGCGGATACAGTAACTAACTTAAAAAGAGAAGTGTTTATGTATGCTTTCATATGTGATAAATTTTCACATGTTAAAAAGTATATAAATATACTTTCATGTACTAATAAGAGATAACAGATGCATACTGTCACAGGGAATGTAGAACTGCATTATATATTAACAGGTTATATAAACTATATATGTAACTTTTTATAAATAATAAACATAGCCATTAGAATACTAGAGCAGGAGTTAGGGGGGTTTTAATCACCCGTCTGAGGCCAAAAGGTTTGATGGTATTTTTGTATTGTATATTATATGAGTAATTCAAAATACCATTTCTTACTTGATACTGCCTGGCCAAAAACCCGTGGCAAAGGGTTAACAATTGTACCGAGCGGAGGCATTTTTTTTCTTACACTCAGGGAAATAACATCGGCATAATTGCAATTTGACCTTAGTATTTTGTGCAGTTGTGTTTGAATTCTATAAATAACAAAATATACATAATAAAAACCATAGAAATATATATATATATATATATATATATATATATATATATATATATATATATATATATATATATATATATATATATATATATATATATATATATATATATATATATATATATATATATATTTTAAAACATAAACACCATAGTAGAACAGTTATCACTTATTAAAACAAAATTTTTGATATTATAGTGTACAAGTAAAAGGATGCATAATATCCCTGATATATATCATTTTAAATTCATATAGAATCACACTTAAGTACAAGATCAACTGTAGATAAACTGTATATTTGATTACCATCTTTGAATTATATGCCTATGACAAAGCATGTTCATACTTTATCGTACCTGCACTTAAGGGTATTAAAGTGCTGGAATGTGTTGAATGTACTCCATGATCATCTAGAATTGGCATACTCGTATACCTGGAATGAATTGATATCATATACTCCGCTGTTTGGGTTTCAGTTACTGAATATTGTATGTATTTAGAGTGAACAGAGAAACATTTATCATGAAAGTCTCTTGATGCAGTTGTTACGACACTCAGTAACTTAAATTCATATATATATTCTGTTACTTGTATTTTCTATTTTTGGGAATAATGTACTTTATACTTGTGTGTCATTTGTGAAGGATGTTACATTTGTTCCTATTATATTGTGTACTGAATATGTGTGTCCATTTATCATTGCAATAAAACAGCAAGTCATAATGTTTTCTGGTAGATGTCGCCATCTATCGGTTAAGTGTAAAGGTGTAGTGAGGACTGCCAAGAGTCACCACACTGGACTGTCGTATTGACCATAGTGGATGAGTGGAAGGTTTTGTTAATGCTTCGACTCATTCATTGAGTTTTGGTGTTGGGTTAACTAGATAACTACCCGAAAACAGTCAGTCAAATTGTGGACAGCATGAGTGCCGGCTGTGGGTCTCACCTTCTCCCTAAGGATGAGTACGTTGTTATTTGTATTCTGTGAACAGTTTTCACTTATGTTATAAGTGTTCCTGCTCCCCTTTAGGTTAAGTACTGTATATTGTAACTGATTTCATGGTAGGGTTAATAGTGTTGTTTTGTCAATGGCAAACTTCTCGAACTGACCAAATTCCTACTTAGTTATTTTGTCATAATTGTTTCTTATATGCAGTTTAAATATTAGTTTATATTAATTACAATAAGATATTTTACTTGTTGGTTTTGTTTCACCGATATTTGAGATTAACCAGTCTTTGAAAACGTTCTTTGGTAAACAGTTGTATTAGTGAGACATGGGTTACATACAGGAGGCACCTCAAGGCACTTGAAAACTTTCACCAACGTAGTCTACGTTCCATCCTCCAAGTTCGATGGGAAGACAAGAGTACAAATGCTAGTATTCTTTCTGACACCAACTGTAGGAGCATCGAGGCTACCATTATCTATGAAAAACCATGCTGGACTGGCCATGTTACCCGCATGGACGACGTAGACTGCCAAAACAGCTACTTTAGTCACCTAACGAATAGTAAACGTAACGCTGGCGGGCAACTGAAAAGGTATAAGGATAGTCTTAAGACAAACTTGAAGAAGTGACAAATCGATTTCGAGACAAAACGGCCCCAGTCGAAAACCGCCCAAACCAGAACGGCCCCACTCTAACCAAAACGGCCCCACTCTGTGACCAAAACGGCCCCACCTTGTGACCAAAACAGCCTAACTCTAACCTAACCTAACCTAACCTAACCTAACCAAAACTGAGCATGATAGCAGCCATGTTGTCAGTCTGAGTGGGGCCGTTCTGGTTTAGGCCGTTTTCGACTGGGGCCGTTTTCTCCTGCTACCTGCCAAATCGACCCCCCTCAACTGGGAGACGATTACTCCACATCATAACGCTTGGAATAGCACCACACGAGGTGGTGTCAATACTTTCGAGTTAGCCCTACTGCACACCGTGGCAGACAAGCGCCAACGCCGGAAAGACGCTACCGCCGCCCCTCCCGCACTAGATGTAGCCCTCCACATGTGCAGCATCTGTGAACGACTCTGCCGGTTCCGTATCGGCCTCTTTAGTCACCTCAAAACTCCCCAATGAAGGTGACATTCCTAATAACTCATATTATTGTATCACAGCTGGATGATCGTCATACTCGATTTCGAGTGACAGCAAAGTAGTAGTAGTAGTGGTTCTCATAGTTAATGTGTGAAAGACAGTCATAAATAGATAGACAAAGCGAGCGAGCGAGAGAGAAAGAGAGAGAGAGAGAGAGAGAATGTACTTGTACTCGTATGTGTGTGTCTGTATAAGTCAACTGCATATCTGCACGAGAGTGTACGAGTCTAAATATAATGTCTAAGAGATACAATCACCAGCATTCGTGCAATCTTCACCGCCTACAAAGGGTGACGACCTGAGAAGCCAACCGTACACAGTCACCTGGGCCTGGATGCACGAACATATTTAAGTCATTTAAGTCTCAGCTGGCGCTCGTACTCTCTGCCCGCATTGTTAAGTCATTTGTTTTTGCTAAGTTCATATTCATAAATCAATTTAAGTGCCCTAGAAACTGGGATCTTGGAAACTTAGTCCACTTCTGAGTTGTCAGTGAGCAAACCGGCCCTGCGTTCACTAGGGCAACACTGTAGCCTAGTGTAGCGTACGGTCTTTTGTGAATTTTGATAATGTAATACATCCGAAAGGTGTTTAAAATCAATGCAATCTACAAAAAGATATATTTCTTTATATTTCTTTAAAACAAAATCTGCATGAGTGGTGTTTCATACCTCCGCCAACTTCTTTTGTTTACACAGAGTCTGGAGGGTAACGGTCACCCCCCCCCCCCCCCCCCCGCACACACACAAATTCAAATTCAAAACATTTATTGACAATTACATCAAAAGGTTAGCATGCTAACTAGCCCGCCCAAAACTAGTCTTAACAAGAGCTTTAACATTCTACTAATCATAAATCAGATATGTATACAACAAATATATATGCATAAAATCTACAATCTTATGTTAAACTTACAGAATTTTTTCAGAATATTCTTAACCATATTTTTGTTTATTAAATAACAACCCATCTCTGTAATATCAGTAATACCATCACCCCTAAATTCTGATAAACAGCTACATTCCATAATGTAATGATATAATGTATGAGACTTTACATAGCCACACAGTTTACAAGGAATGCCATCAGTTCCTTCAATATATTGCCAATAATATTTGTATCCAAAGCGTAGTCTCATCACAAATGTATCATACTTAACCGAAGCCTTACCATAAGTAGAACTTGTAGAATTCAAAACTCGAACATAATGTTTCAAACTACTACTGCCGTTGTTCAAAATTTTCCGAATATTGTCCATTTCCCATTGCTGTCGGATTTTTACCATTCCAGGTTTTATTCTTTTAATACCCAAAATACAATCGTATTCTACAATTTCTTTGCCACACCCTTGCTTAGCCAAATCAACAACAACCTCATTCATATAAATACCACAATGGGATGGAATCCACATAAAACTAACATCATATCCGAGTGATTTTATGTCCTGAATACACTTCTTACATTTTAAAACTAAATCATCATCAAGAGGCACTTTAGAATTTAGAGCACTTTGACTGTCAACAAACCACCAAACTGTCTTTTTCCTCACAAAGGCATTCTTAAGTCCCACATATATCCCATAAAGTTCAGAAGTGGTGCTGGAACTTCTATCCCCAATTCTCTTGGATATTCTTTCTTCAATACAAATACCATATTAAAAAAAATCCCTGATAACAATGCCACATCCGGCTCAATTCACATTAACTGAACCATCACAGTACACATGAATATCATTTTCCTTATGGTACTCGGATATTTTCTCAAGGAATATTTGCCGTAACTCAAAAGGATTACATTCTTGTTTTTTTTTTAAACTCTAGCTTATCAATTCTCACAGATACACTCTCCATGAACCAAGGTTTCAAATAAACTTTGTTTGGCAAAGGCACACACAAATCTACAATATTATATTCACACAGCATTCAAAGTTTTTTAGTCTAAGTATTCATCTTAAAATTACTAGTAATTGCATTAGTAAATTTATCAACAGCAGACTTCAGATACCCATCACCACGCCTAATAAGCCTTAGAGTAGAAATGACAGTCAACTCCCTAATTCTGTGTATTATGCTTGGGACATTTAGCTCCATCCTCATAATCTCTATTCTTGTCGTCCTTGGACAACCAAGCACAATCCTCATTGTTTCATTCTGAATAAGCTCTAATGGCCTAAGATCTTTTCCTGAGTAAGAAGCTAGAACTGGAGCTGAATAATCAATGATACTCCGAACTGTACTTAAGCACATAGATCTTAAAACTGGTATACCAACACCATTTGCTCTATTTGACAAAACTTTCAGAGGTTTTAACCTCGCTGTACATATATTTTTGACATAAGTAATTTGATCCTTAACATTATTAATTATACCCACAAACATTCCCAGATATTTGTAACTGGATACTTTTTGCAACTTTATTCCATTTAGCCAAAATTCTTTTCCATTTACTGCCCTTGACTGAAATTTGGTTTTATTTTCATTAATGACCAGTCCCAAGGAGAGACAAAGATACTGCAGCTGATCAATGACCCTAGACATATCTTCCTCATTCTTACATTGGATCAGAATGTCATCAGCATTAATGATTACTTGGGACTCGCCCTGGAATTTGTAACTAGCTATTCTGTCCATAGAGAATATTAAAAAGCATAGGGCTAAGAACGCCACCTTGTGAGGTACCCAACCCTAGACTTTTTCTTCCGATTCATGACCTTGAAACCAGACACTCGCTTTTCTGTTAGTTAAATAATCTGTAATCCACATCAATAATTTTCCTTTTATACCTTTACTTACAGTCTACAGTTGACATTAGCATTACTAAGACATTTAATGACATAATATGTAGTGCTTTTACCCTTTAAAAATCCAAACAAATTACTTGACAAGAGACCTTCAATTTTATACAATAATCTATATAATACCAT